CGAGAAATCCGGCAAAAACCTTGTTTTCGAAAATCTCTTGTTCTTCTCTTGGTTTGACTACTTTCACGCGGTTTTTTCCTGCATTCTATAGATTTTGCTTCTATTCATAATGCAGACAACCACCCAGCCCTCACCTCTTCGATTATGGTGGAAATTTTTGCGAAAAATTGTAAAAAGTGCGTTTTTCTTTACCTTGTTCTGTTTCAGTGCTTTCGCACCGATTTTTTCCAGCTCGGGCGATTGTTGCTCAGAACAATAAGCGCAACAATCCAGACAACGTCCCAGGAAACAGGAACGTCAATGCGGGTGTAAAAATTCAAAGGACGCATCAAAAATCAACTCCTGTTGCAAATTGCTAGGAAGCGAAAACTTGCACTTTGAAAAGCCGTCAAATGAAGGATTTCAGACCTCTTTGCAGCGTTTTTATCCGGTTTTCAGCAGTTTCTTTTGCTTTTTATATCTGTTTTACGTCATATTCTCTTATCTAATCTTCTTTAAACAACCTTCACTACTGATGACGTCAGATGCTCAAACAACCTTCACTTTTGAAGCCCTGTCTCTAGACTATCGAAGGTATGGTCCGCCCTCTAGAACGCGATTGGATCGTGAGTGGAGACACCGTACCCATCTCAGCCGCTATTGGACTAGCTCCGACAGCCACTTTCGCGACCCGCCCAAACAGCATCTATCACGTCTGCAAAAGTGGGTTACTGATATCTCCTGAAGCTGTAAAGCACAAGCTGCAAAGCACAAACTGCAAAGCACAGTCTTGGACTTAGCTCATCCAAAGGAACCGAGAACGATGAATATCCCAAAGTTATCATTCTGCCGAGCCGCTGCCTTCGCTTTACAAAATGACTGATTTATGCTTGCGATCGAAATAATTTCCAAGAGATTCTTGAAAAATTCAAATCAGCCCCATTTTTTCGGGCACATGCCCCGTCCTTTTTAGAAGTGCGAGGTTATGGGCTGCAAGAAGTTTGAAAACATCCCAAAATTTTTCAGAGTGCGTGACGCCACACACCTTCATTCAAAATCCTCTCTCCCTCCCCTTCCCCTCCCCTTCCCCACGAACGGATATCCTGGGACCGCTACCATCCTACACCTTCAGCTCATTTCATCCGGCGAGATGTTATACGAAATTAGTTAAGAATATAATCGCGGAATCAAATATATAGTTCCGTATATGACGCCCGCAGTATTTCACAATTAGCTACGCACAAGGGAAGGACGCTTGGTCGAAGTAGAGTTTCTATATGAAATATGTATTATCCTATAGTGCATGAAGCGCTGATTCCAAATCTGCTTCCGGTATCTGCAAAGCGCTCCTTGGTGGAGAGATATGGGAATTTTTCCAAACAAGAATTTGGACGCGCAGCTGCGATAATATCATCCGAAAGTGTAGTCTGTGAGTCAAACTGGGTAATTGTCTCTGCCAAGGCGCTTCATGCAATTAATACCTTCGCTTAATGCACTTATGCCATATTACTCCCTTCAAACCGGAAAAACTTCAGTAACTGTTTTTACCTTACCCAAATCACTGAATTTTTACCTCAAAAATCCCATAACCTCTGAGCTTTGCAGATAACGAAGGCAGTCTCGGAATCAGCATTGCATGCTTTATTAGATAGCATAAATTTCATTTGGAAACCCCACTTCGACAAAGTATACTTCCCTTGTCAGTGCTGTAATTTGAAAATAATCATTTTCTCTCTTGAAGTTCTAATTTACGAGCATGTTTAGGTTTTTTTGCTGATGTTCCGTTATGTTTTGCTAGTTCACTATTTTTTTAAATTCCACGTTTTCCTGAAAGAGTTAAGATTTTAGTCTTGAAGGAGTGTCAAACTTTGCATTTCAGACAAGATTTAACACTCCTGCAAAAATAATTGCTGCTTTGAAAAACGTTATTTCTCGTATATATTACAGTATTTAGCAAAGATACAAAATTGTTATGAATTTTTCATTGGCCGACGTTTCGGCGGCTTCGCCTTCGTTGAAGCCCGGAAGGTCAAAGTCAGCAATCTTTTCTTTCAATTGTCAATAGAAGGCTCAGGTTTGCATTCAATCGGCTAGGTTGTGCTCGGAAATACGGTAGTCAAATCGCCTCGAATGACCAGCACGAGAGCAATAGCGAACACGTTATGACAAGACCATCCCTCAACTCCTTTTATATGTGCTTACGATCAAATCCACATTAAGATTGATAGGCTGATAACTCTTGCGTGACAGTGATATACTCTTCTTTAGCATTCATTTTTGGATTTTTTGTGAAGATCCAAAATGCCCCTAATGTTTTGCGTGCAAGGGTTTCAGGCTCAAAGGCTAGGATTTAACTCCAACTTGAAACACCATAACCTTTGATTCAACTGGCTTGGATTGGGAAGGCGGGGCTTTGTGATCTAATTGAGGCCGCTCGTGCCCGCGACGCACCTGCGCCTCTCCCGCGCGAGTGCTTTCTGATCGTTACCTAGCCTTAATTAGGTCACAAAACCCCGCCTTCGCGAAGCCACCTAGAATCAAATGCTACCGTCATGGCGCATAATGCCGTACAGACCTAAAGGTGTAGTTTTTCTCAATCGCAGTAGGTTTAGATGTTCCTCAATGCGGCAACAAAGAGGCCGTCCAGTCTCACCAATATAAGCATCTCCACATGAAAAGCACGTTATGACATATAGTACGACATATACCACGAAAATCATGATCGCCATTTTTGCTGTAAGGACAAACCACACAATCTGGGTTATGGCAATTGCCATCTAAGCGCGATTTCGAATTAAGCGTTTCTAAAGGTTGACGGGCGGTATATCCACAACTCTGACAAGATTTTCTAGGCTAGTTTGCCTTAGGCAGCGACGAAATGCACTGCTGAGTTCATCAGAGATAAATGGTACACGAAACGCTATCTTACTATTGTCTTTCTGGTTAGGTTGATGTTTATTGGAACCGCACGTTGCCTTTGACTTTTCGCCCATGTAAGCGTTCATTTTCGCAATTTTATTCGCAGCTTCAATAGATTGCAAGCGTTCCTCGCGACTAGACGATACCCGAGCAGCCGTTTTGTACATTTGACTTATCACGGCTTTTTTCATCCTTTTTGGAGGCGCGGACAATATGTATCAAAAAAAATATTTTTACTGCTTGGTTTACGGTACATTTAGTTCTGTATTCTCCATATAGATGAATCGCTACGTTAAAGGCAGTGTCCAAGCAAAAAGTCGATTTCGAGATTTTGTGCTTACCTGGGCCTATTCGCTATGCTGAATCCGAAAATCAACGCTGGAGAGCGCAAAAACGACGAGAAAAAGGCTCTAACGGAGAAGGGAAATTGCAGGTGGGCGGGGCTGTTCACATAGTGACGTCACTCTCCCACCTTCGGGAGCAATCTCCTCGCTTCCGCTAGTCTCCCTATCATCACCATCAGCCAACTGCGAAACGTATGACATAAAATCGGAACCGAGAAGATCGCTTCTAAAACCTGGGAGAGTGACGTCACGGTGTGGACGGCCCCGCCCACCTGCAATTTCCCTCCTGTGTTAGAGCCTCTTTCTCGCGTTTTCGCGCTCTCCATTGTGGTTTATCGGATTCAGCATGGCGAATAGGCCCTGGTAAGCACAAAATCTCAAAATCGACTTTTTGCTTGGACACTGCCTTCAGGCCTAAGGCCCCGGGCAGACTTCACGCGATTTGATCGTCGCGACTGAATCGCGAGGAGACAACTGCTACAACATCATTCCATGCCGATCAACCCGCATTCGGTTGTGATACTTTTCCAGCCCGAAATTTTTGAATGTGAAATGAAAATGAATGGAAATTTTGGCGATTAGATCGCGACGATTAAGTCGCGTGAAGTCTGTCCGGGGCCTAAGGCATACGTCGCGCGACTTGGCATAACAGCAAGTCTCTGTAACTCGCCGTTAACGCGTTTCCTTTAATCAGAACTTAACTCATTTGCAACAACTTACACAAGCTACCCGCCTATGCATTTGAGAAGCGCGCACGATAAATTTGTAGAAATCTGGAAAATCGCCAAGTCGCGTGAAAGTGGCAATTTGGCCAATCGCGTGAGGTATGCCTTAGGCGCTAGCCATTAGCCGCGCCGGTACGCTAGCCATTCTTTGGGCCTCTTTCATGTAAAACTGATGCTGGAGCACTGCTGATCGAGGATATTAAACATATATCAGTTCTGCTTGTGTAGTACACACTATACAGCAATCATATATATATATATATACATATATATATATATATATATATATATATATATATATATATATATATATATATATATATATATATATATATTTAGGACGCCAAGCGCTGTCCCATTGCTAAGGCTCTGATTTATTTATAGTAATGCCCCGACTATCTAAACATACGAATACCGTAATTCTGAGCACGATATAGCCGATCGAATGCAAATCTGAGCCTTCTGGTGACGATTGAGAGAAAAGATTGCGACTTTGATCTTCCAGACTCTGACGAAGGCGAAGCCGCCGAAACGTCGGCCAATAAAAAGTTCATAACATTTTTGTCTTTCATTGCTAAAATTGCTAAATACAATAATATGCGACTACATAACAGCCGAACATGGAAAGATATTACTTCTATTTTATGATGGGTAGCATCAAGTACGCTTGACTTTGTCCTTGGACTACTTGTAGCGCCAAGTTCAACGATCATTGGCATACTTCTAACACAATACTTATATCCCTCACACCATCGAAAGCATGCTGATCAGGTTTAAAAAAAGCCCTGTGAATACGGATATAGAAGGGACGAGAAAACGATACGTGGATCTCACCATGGACAATCTTTCAGCTCAGCCAATCGCTTTGCCCAAGAACGAACGGTAGAGAGCGAAGTTGACGGTTGGTAGTCCATCTGATTTAAAACTAGTAAACTAAAGTAATTTGAACAGAAAAAACGCGAAATCCGACGCTGTTTTAGATATTCACGATAAAGCGGGACGGGAACCATATCAAAAACAAAAACTAGTTTTCCAATTAACTTTATTCCTGTATACAGTAGTGCGAAGAAATAATTTCTCCTATAAGGATAACCACTGTCTTTCTCAAAATGTTGTCATTATGTAAATTCAGATATATGCCTCAACTGGATATAAAGCAGTATTAATATGTGACAAAGCATTCCAATATTTATCAAATATCATCAGTTTATAATGTTCAACAATCATCCTCTACTCTACAAAGTTATGAAATTCTGTACAAATATTCCTAAAGAAAGTTTTCACCACTAAAATTTACTTTCCTACACAAAACTGACTAAACAATTTGTCTAAGATTTCCTCGCTAACCGTCGAACCAGCCATCTGTCCAAAAATATCTAAAGCTCGTTCTAGGTGATCACATAACAGAGCAGCGTCATGGATGGATGCAGCATTTTCCAGTTCCTCGCGAGCTTCGCTTAATAATAAAGTTATGATTATTTTTTAATAGTGCGTGAGCTTCATAGAAGTATTGGTATTTAGAATTAGTCAATAGCATAGAAAAAATTTTTGGAATCATCAGGATGTGATCGTCTTTGTAAAAGTAAAACTTGAAACTTCCACAACACCAATTTGGTTTTTTTCTCCAATATTTTGATAGTTATTGCGTTCTACTGTATAAGACTTTTGCCTCAAGAATATCAAAAAAGAAACTAAGAGATTCCAATCTGTGGCAATTTCAAATTTCGCTTCGCCAAGTTTGATCACATTCTGACAGTTCTTGAATTTTTTCGGCATATAAGTCTTTCACCTCAGTAACTGAGTGTCAGTCAAGCAAGGTCCACTATCATCTGGACACAAATTCTCCACAAGATGTTCCAGTGACTCCATGAGGGGACGGACACCTATTAAAAAACACTAGGATTTTCAATGCAATAAAGAAAAGGAAAACCGAAAAAAATTTACTACCTTCTGTGCTAAGAGCGCAGGTGCTTACGGAATCTACTATGTCTAATTGTAAATTCAGTTTCGTCTCCGAAAAACTCGTACACTTTGCAAGATCAGCCTTGTTTCTAACTATTATCAACGGCACAGGAGTATCTGTTAAATTCTAAACAAATTATAATCGGATAAGACGAATTCGAATTTGTGAAGCCACCTTTAGCTCTTTCAGTATAGACTTTGTTTCCTCTTCGGTATCTTTGGCATCAATAACAACTATGACAACGTCCGCTTCGAGGATTCTTGAAAAGTTTCATTAGGGTAGCCGTGGAAAGGAAAAATCTCACTTTCGTTTTGCTCTTTCAACTCCTTCCTTTTCTATAGAATCTGACGTCTCACGGATGCCAGCAGTGTCTGTGAGCGATACCGGTACACCCGCAATGTTCAAACGGACCTCAATAATTACTGCCAAATTTTTGGACTGACAGAACTTCAAAACAAATGAGAGGGACAGCTACCTCTATGCTATCTCGAGTGGTTCCAGCTCGCTCCGATACAATAGCCACATCTCTTTGAGCTGGAAAAAAATAGATTTCGACTTACAAAAATTCGAAATGCGATAAGATCGATATCCTTTCTGTGTGTTGACTTTACCTGCTAAACCGAATAATTTTCACTCTTTTCCTTCACATTTTCATAAAATTTGACAGTTTTCTTGTCATGCTACTCTGTAGCAAGAAATGGAGTATGCGTATATTTCAATCGTTTGCAAAAATCATGCACTTGCGAAGAAAAAACTCTTACCTAAAGCATTCATCAGGCTGCTCTTTCCCGTATTTGGTCGACCTAGTATGACCACTCGTAGACCTCTATGCACAATTTCAGCTCCTTTTGCTCGACTTTCGAGACGAATGACCTCTTCAAGGATTGGCTTAATGTGTTCCCTGAGAAACAAAAACGATTTTATATTAAGGTAGCTTACTACAGAGTATTTGAAATAACAACAGTAAGTATGTTAACCATCAGTGCAAGGGCATACTTACTGTATCTCTTCTATGCTTACAGACACATGTTCCCCAAAATCCATTAGCACAAACGCTCTCATTACAGCATCTTGTAGTAAATCACTGAAAAAGATCACTGCATTCTTCCAAATAATTAAATCTCCATCAATATATATATAACATGGATATGGATAAATTATATCATAAAATTTTTATACAGGCTTTCCTGTCCGAAATCTGTCTCATTAAGAGTATATACAGAGAATATTCTGTTTTTTTTTTCATTTTTCGTTCACCAAGAAACACATCTATGAATTTTCTACTTTCAGTGGTTGGGATATTTGACATGAATAACAGGTGGAATGTGCATCCAACCACTGCCATGAAAACTACCGTATCCGCCGAGCTTCGGCTCCTCCCCTCATCTGACCATATGACATTTGCCTTTGCCGTTGTGTTTCGGCGTAAATAAGATTTTTCAGACCATGAATCTCGTGAAAGTCCATTTTTCCATTAAAGAATGCCCTAAAAATCTCCAAAATGGTGAGTCAGATAACCAGCGCCAGTCAAATTCTATGTAAATATCGAACCTTTTCGTAAACTCTCCTCTAGTGGCTTGTCGCACCCCTTCAAACCCGGCCAAACGTTCTGATAGAGCATCTGCTACGGCTCGACTGCCATGAACGTAGAGTTCAGCAGTATCTTCACCAGTGAATGTTGAAGGTCCTGGATGTCACAAATGGGAGGAAAGAGAAAACAAACAATCAAACGGTCAAAGTAGAGTGTCCTTTGTCCTTTATTTGTTCTCTTTCCTAGCATCAATATTTGATGTGTGATGGACTTTTTCCAATCCGCTTAGAATTCTTGCCCATTTCCCTTCGCTCAAGACTTGTTTAGATCAGGTAAAGTTGAAGGACCATAAAATTTTGTACAAAGAAAGCTTGAAGGTCTCACTTATCTGCAATTCAGAATTTTTGAACACTTATATTAAGAACGCTGTTTACTATTCTATTAACAATTTACACTTCATATGAATATTATTAATGCGCTACTTGAAGAGCTTCTATAGGAAATAATCACTCACAGAGCACTTCGAGTATCAAAGCGTTATTATTTTTCATCCATCTATCACTAGTTTTGATTGACAATCCTATAATCTACATAAATCGAAAGGATGTAGAATTACTGTAGACGAAAAGCACCCCGAATTTACGAGATGGTGGCCCAACACTTCACGACAATACGACCCACCGGTGGGTTGTACGTGTTCTGCCGTTTCGGACAATACGACCCACCGGTGGGTCGTAAGATTCCTGGAGCTCTAGCTTTGCCAGTATACGATGGAATTCTACGGGGTTCTGGCACATGATTGGGGACGCCTGGGCAAAGCTTCAGCCGGAATGGTCCAGGTTCGGGATATTGTAATGTATTGTTACGGTAGGTATATCGTAGATAGAGGTAAGGCACAGATTTTAGCTCAAATTTTTCGCAGAGTGGTGCTCTTTTTGATGACAAGTTTACATGCACGAGAAATACAAGGTGGGCATGAGACTGATGTCACTGTGGTCCCACTGTGGTCAGACCCAAAAATTATCGATTCTAGTTATTTTTCGCATTGTTCATCCCAGGAAGCTTAAACCTTACATATATAGGTTTTTTAGCATGCTGATTACGAAAATGATAGTCCCAACTTCTAACACCACCTTTCTACATCAGTTTCTCAATTCCTACGAAAATTTTCCGTACTGCTACCGTAGTTCCACTTTGGGAAAGTAGTGAACAAAGTGGACACTATAATGGTGATCAGCACGTGAAATAACCTCAAAACACAATTTTTCAAGGAAATCTATGATGTTGGGTTCGTACAGAATGACTATCGTAACCTTACCGTATACCGCCAAAGACTGAAATAAACCTATTTTGGTAATCAACGCCTTCGATAACTCTTTGTGGGGAAATCCTTGGAGAAATGTTTTGAAATTCTTCCAAAAAGACTACCATTTCGGACAATACGACCCACGGGTGGGTTGTAACTTTGACAAAGCAAAAAAGGCTCTGGTCCGAAATGGCAGTAATCGAAAAATCGGCCCTGTCGTTAATGTGCTAATAGCGTGGTATATCATCTATTTACACTCTGATTCTATACAAAATGCTTGAAGATATGAATTTTCCTTACACAAACCTGGCATATACACAGCCATGGCCGTATCCAACAACTCATCATTCTTGGTGAAAATTTTCGTGTATCTCATCTGACGAGGTATCCATCTTTTTTTGCGAGTTATGTCTCGTAGAACCGGCAGAGCTCGACTCCCTACAAGAGAAGCCGTTCTATCGCGGCAGTCCACCTTGATCTTGACAACGAAAACCGTTTAGCTTTGACAGGAGATACTAAGAAAAACCCCTTTTATCTCCAAACCCCACATGCACGATCAAGCACCCTGCTAATAGAGAGAATTGTCACCTGACATTCGAAAAACTGCGATGGCAGATGGTAGTGCACCCGAACTGAGCGCGAAAATAGTGGCCATACTAAATCACTGTACAAATGAATCTTCCAAATCACTCAGCTCAAATGTAAACTCACACAATAAAATGGAAAAACAAGTTCGATACAGCGCCTCTCCTACAAAAAAAAACCATGTGCGATATAAAGATTTATATGCAAATAATGTGACATAGCCTATTTATGAAGCATGTTCCAAGAGAAAGAGATACGTTAACAATTATACCCGTTCGAATGGAGAACTATCAGACTAGCTATATGATAGCTGGAAAGCACTTATAAAACCATGATGTTATAATAATTACAATGCCTTCACATAGTAAATTCATCCGAAAAAGAAGAATGTGTACTCAAGCGATCTCACATTCAAGCACGCAGTTCCCAGAGTAGATAAGGCCATAGGAAATGAGAAGGTAGATTACGTTCGTGAAAGAAAACAAATTACAAGAAAATTTTGCTCGACTTGGGATTCAATTATATGAGTTGTAATAACTCATATGAGAAGGTGTTCCAAGTCCTAATCATTGGGAATGGATTACTCACTCATGCTAAAACTTGGACAAGAGCCACTTAGCACTCTAGTCCAAAAAGGACACTAATATTGAGACACTTGAAAGACTTGAGGCGTCAGAGAAAAGACAAAACAAGAAAATCTAGAATTTAACATCGACAAGGATTAGTTATGTCAAACCAAGCCTTTCCTTCCGATCTTCTAGCACTTGAAGGCACTCTCGAATATTCGGAATCAAGAATTTCGGATCTGACACATAAGCTAGCAGAGGTGGAGGCAACTGTAATGTACATAGCTTGTCTGCTCGCGACAGTAATCTAATCTTCAGACGACACAAGTACTGCAACCGCGGAAGAAGCTGTAATCGCGATAATGGATATCGCAAATGAATTCCAGATGCTTCAGCTTCTGCACCTCGTCGATGTATGAGGATATCACGTTCCCTCGTAAAAGATATCTAGAAAATCTAACATGAAACTGACTCATGTGAAAGTAGGAATTGAAAAAACAGGAATGAAACTCACTTGAACCGCATGCTTGAGCAACTCGACAACACTCTCCGAGCGCTCAAGTGACAATGGACCTCCTAGATGAGCGTACTGACCGCTAATCTCCACTCGCGAATGTAAAACTTTATCTGAAGAGATTTGATCTTATGATGATGAAAAAAAAGTGGAGAGTTTGTAGAATAAAGAAATACAAACCCACTTCCATGTTTGTAGCTGATAGTGAACAGATGATTTTCACTGTGGCTATCTCTGACCAGGAACGATCCCTCTTCGCACAATAAAAGAAGTTTTTCGGCGTTTCTCCAAGATAAGTCACCCCAGTACCTAAAATTTCACAAAATCTGCAACGGTCAAATGTTTCATGTCCTACATTGTCTGTAAAAATTTTTCAGACACTTACGGGTACTATTTGCTGATACTTTTATACTTTTACTGCTTTTTTCAGGTACTATTTGCTGTATCTGCAATTTACTCTTCCGATTTCACATTTCATCTCAACTCAGCCTGCACAGAGAGCATTCTGGCTCGAAAACTGATGAGATTAGCGGTCAAACAGATTAAGTTAATAAAGGTGAAATTTCGAAAAGCCACAGATATCTTCTCGCAGCTATGTGGAGGATTTGTAACGACTATCTCGTAATTTCTAAATCTTCCTATCAATTACAGATTTGCGATTAAAACCAATCTGGTAAAAATTTTGTGCAGACTACGGGCGCAGAGCATAAGGAAACGTAAAGCATAAATCTCACCAGGGACAAGCTTTTAACTCAGCCAGTCGTTTTGCCCAAGAACGAGTAGGAGAGGACGAAGTTGACGGCTGGTCGTCCATCTGATCAAAATTGATAATTTTGACAAGGAAAAGAGCGAAACTCAGCGACTCCAATATTCACGGTAAAATCAGGATAAGCACCATTTCAAAAAACAAGGAACATTCTCACAATCATCTTATTCATATGCAATTCTATGTACATGTACAAAAACGAACCTGTTAACAGCTGATGCATACACCCACTGTTCAAAAAATTAATTAACAAACTAGTACAAAATGAGATCAACAAAGGAGTTATCACACAAATATGAAACTAATGATGTTCTCCGGCCGTACTTGAGGAAGCAGAGTCCGCGGGTCGGTCTGGAGCGTGAGCACGCGAAGTCTTCAGAAGCGTTGCGAGGTCTGGCCGGTTCACCGTGCTCACTTTCGCACAATCTTCATCCTTTTCTTTGTTCGATGAGAAGGATGTGTAAAACTTCAGTCGTTCACGCATCCTTGGTGGAAATCTGGAAGAGAAAAAAAAACTTAGGTAAGAATTAATGATAGCAAAAACCGGAATTTACATCGCAATCTCAAAATTTCTACCATGAGATACAATGGAGTTAAATGGAATTCTTAATTCCTACTCACCTTGGAAAAGCTGCTTCAGCCTCCTTTCTCAAAAAGTCACCCACGAACATGTATTTGAAATAGTAAAGTAGGTCACAAAGTTCATCCTAGAAGAGAATAGAAACATTTTATGGGTAGCAGTGAAATGAATGAAAAACTGACCCCATGCAAAATTTCACCGTAACGTTCCGCAATGTCTCCAATCTTTGTATAAAGTATACTGACAACTTTGAGGCTCTGGAATATTAACTGAAGGTAAGGTAATAGTCTCCAAAGACGGCAATGGAAGAAACAACAAACATAGCAAACCACTCAAGGTTGGTTTGAGTTTACACAGACAGCAAAACACAATACGCTCACCTCTTCATGTTTGACCTTCTCCCTCCAATCGTAACACCTCTGAAGGAGCGGCACAACGAGCCGCAAAGCATACCACAGATCATTTTCCGTATTTGCTCGACTACATACTTCACCAGCAAATGTTGAGATAAGCTTGGATAACGAAGTCTGAAAATTTTTCAGGCACTATCAATTTTTAGAAAACGAAAGGACTGATACACAAAAATAATTGGACACACAAATGTGCAAAAAAAAGCTTAACTGAGTTCACGGGTAACAGGAAAAGTTGCTAATAACTTACCAGGTTACTGTGATACCAGTACGCCTGCGCCACAACATTCACAATGAGTGGGCGGCTGGCCATCTGCAGCAACTGACGCTCTTCGAATTCATCAAACACGATTTCTTCGAATGTCATCTCTGTAATTTGATGCCGTGAACAGAGCAAATTGATATCTTTTCCAAACCTGATAATACTCCGCTGTCAATGACATTCAAAAATTCATTCTGTAACACTCGACAGTACGCATCCGGCAAAGCCGTTAGGAGTAACGCTATGGCATTCAACATGAGATACGGTCTCGGCGGCTGAGCTCTTGAGCTCACTAACAGATTAATCATTGCGGGTACGATGTGCTGAAAAACGGTAGGTTAGTAATATGTGACTGGTAATAGCAATTGGATGCTCTATAGTCAACTTTAAAAAATGAAAAATAACTCCAAACAAAAAGCAACAATTATCCTAGCGCTTGAATGGCTATGCAGGCACAAAATAGGCTTCCCCAATCAAAACCTCCCACGACAAAAATGATGAACGGCCAATGCATTCCAGTGCATTGATGATGAAAAATTCTGCCAATATCCAATAATACCTCGGGTGTGTGCGGACTAGCGAGAAGCTCGATACATGCCAGATATAGAGCCTGTGCGGCTGGCGGATATTCAGCGAACCTCCAGTCAGGTGCAACATACGAGGGAGGGCTGAAATAAATACAACAAGCATACAACTCTCACGATAGATTTCCTGAAAAAAACGTAAGCCACAGCAAGGAAAAGAAATTCAATAGCATGTCTGAATTCAACGGTGAACAAACATGAAGTTTGGCGAATGACAGGTATGAATTTGAAACCTACGTCAATATGAACTCGCTGCAAGTGATTATCCTGTCCGCCAATTCATAGACCAGTTCCTCAAAAGAGTATACTCTTTGATGGTTATCGTTGATGAATGACTGCGTCAGAGAACTTTGATCACCTAAAAAAGGCGTGAAACGACATTCCAATCACAATCGCAGCTGTGTATTATACCTTGACACAAAATGGCCAGTACAAATTGCCGGGCTCTTGGGTGATGCCCCAATTGTTCATGCATGCAAAATAGAATCGAATAGAGGAATGTGATGGGATAGGCTGAAACAAAAAACATTTGGAACGTAAGTGAAATGCATGAATGTTCCTTACGATGAAATTTGTACATAGGCCCGCATGTTGTCAGTATAGTCGAGAAAATATTGTCCACCTGTAGTTCCAAAGCTCTGGCGAGTGTGAAATCGAGAATCTGATAAAAAAAGAGTGTTGACTCAAACGATAGCAAAAAAGCAAAAGTGCATACAAGCGGCTGTCTGCAGCCATTTCTCCTCGAAAGAAAAACTGACAGCACTCACCGGCAACAATCGTTCAATAAGACTGCCGTAATATATTGGATAATGCGCTCTTGAGTTGATTATTTCGGCCATCATTGGGGGTCTATTGGCCATTTCACCAAATGTCATTTCGGGAAACTTCTGAAAATTTAGCTAAATCAAAAATCTCGATACCATTTGATCATAGGCATGAGATAACAAGGTGATAAATAAGTGAAATTTAGAATTGTAGCACTAACCCTATGATACTCGGCAAGACGGCGGAAGTGCTCCGGAGCGTCTACGTCCCGTTTAGGTATATATCGGCAGTAGAAATCAATCCGTTCGTTGATCTCTGTGCAGTTCAGAAGAGCCTACAAAGCTTCAATGAACCAAAAAAAAACAACAGAAAAAATTGAAGGGCCGTAAAAAACCTAATATTTGGAAAAAAAAAGTTTTTCTGGTGATAGTGAGACACATATAAGCAGGCTGACCTGGACAATAACCATTGCGATTTGGCTAGCGTGATCTGTTGCTGGATGTAAAACTAGTGCCAAGAGAAGCCTATCAAAGGTCATGACATGTCTGTGGAAAACCATCATATTCAGTACACGAATCATCTATAATAGAAATTGACTGTCACTTTACAGATAACAAAATTTCATTCAGTTTCAGATAACAAAAAAATTTCAGACCAAAGATTTTTGAATGACTAACCATAGGCAAGAACTCCTCCAAGTTCTTCTCTGCGTTCCATTGAGAAATGATGTAGTCCACCAGAGCATTTACAGCTAATACATGCTCGCGACAAGTTTGGCGATCAAGAATTCTGCAAGAGCAATTTACCGCAAAATGAAGCAAGATTTTGTGACGCAAACTCACTGATAGATCACAGGCGGCACAATCTGGTGCTCCGGAGGACTTTCTATAAGTGAACGAAAAATTACACATAGAATTGTTGGCTGTCGCGAAGGGAGAGACATATACTCCATCCAGGACATCTCAGGCTGGCCTCTCATTTGCATAAAGTCAGTGTGGACCTCCCGCTGAACCACAGACTTAAGCACAGCAAAAAATCACGTTATCAGTGCAGACCTGGAAGGCTTCCGCTTTTGCTGGATCCTCCTCAAGCGTAATTGCCGTTCGCTGCGCGGATAGCGGCAATGACGACAGCTGAAACATTGATCTTCAAAATTCACTCGATCACTTTGAAATAACTAGATTCCTCCAAACAGTAAGACAAAAACGGCATGATAAAAACGAAACAAGTGAACTTGCAAGCCATGAAAAAATCAAGAATCAAGTCAGCTGAGCAGAGACCCTACCTGACTAGGCGCCCAAGTATAGACCTGGTTGATGCGGATTATCTCCGGATCACTTTCGATTCCTAAAAACGAGACGGATCATGACCTGATCAAAGTATACAGATTTTCGCATACCCATGATTTTCATTGCCCTCATCATAGTGATAAGCAGCATTCGGACGACCTGAAACACTTAGATTACACCTGAATAGTATTAACACAATATATGAACTTACCTCAGGACAAACTACTAGTCTACCCATTCTCGTGTTATCCATGGGATTATAAACCATCCAAGAATTCAGATTAAGCAGAGTGTTCCCAAATGCATTATCTGAAAGATAGAGTGTTAGAAAATGAAGTGAAATGGTAAGCACTGATCGGATAAAATAACTCCCACCCACGAACAAGTGAGCTAAACTTATGGTGTCTGGCAAGAGATTCCAGGCCCACTGACGCATAAGCGTATGCTCCATGGCGGAGTACAGAAGATGGTTAGACGCAACTTGCTGGAACGACGCTTGAATGAGTAACACAAAGAAGTTACAATTAATTTTCAAAAGACAAAGAAAATGATAAAAAAATCAACACCGAATTTATAAAAAGTGATCAGATTTTTTTACCTGCTGTGCCATAGCGCTATGAATGGTCATACAAAGACGTAATCCTGCTGGTGTGGGATCATGGGAATGCGACATCGTAGTACGAAAGTTCATTGGTATCGATGGCAGTCTACATGCAAACATTTACCACGCGTAATTTTGAGATAAAAAGAAAAGAAAAAAATACCTATAGCAGAGTAAATCTAGCAGCATGTAGCACTGATCTTTATGATTTAAACCATCAGAAGGAGCTGGGGATAGTGCTGCAGTGATGGATCGGTTCAGAATCGCGATGAAGTTAGTGAGACCATAGTCGAACTCAATCGATGTTAGGATTCTCGCACATGTCTCTGAATCAAAAAGGTTTTTAACGGCGCAACCCATATAATGTGAAAAGGATTAAACCAGATCAAACCAGCAAAAAATGACATATTATGTCTTCGAGATGAAGTATAACTTACCGACACAAGCAGGGCTCGGGAGTCGGTCCACTTTATGCAGTGAGACAAAACATGTGGAGATAAGAAGATTAATTTTTGCTCTCAACGTCAAAGCATCAAGAAACTGAAACAAAGAATAACGTGACAGACCAAAGAATAGCATTGAGCCATTCAGTAAAAATTAAAAGCTCACTTGCATATCAAATGCGTCTAGTTTATTATTAGCAGCTCGTCCGTAGGGTAAAATGTGTGGTTCATCAGTCGGTTGGCCGTCCAAACGCTGTTGGAACATGGCATGAACACTGCGTGACACTTGAGATTCATGACGAACTAAAAACAAGGAAATTCAAGGTGCGAGCAGGATGATGAAGTTTACATTAGCAAGCTAGAACAGAATAAGAAAAAGAAAATACAAATACTGAGGCCCACAAGCGTTGTCTAGCACAGCCTGCATGGCTTCATCTGGAGGACCCGTGTTCGAGCGTACAAATTCGATCTGCGTAGCAAGACATTCACTCGGCGGAGGGAGACCTTCCTTAAATAAAAGAATAAAGGCAAATTAAAAAAAACATCAGCGATTCACTTACCGAACCATCCAAGATGTTCCACATGCATGCTGCCGCAAGAAATCTGACTAGCTGTGAAGGATGATCTGAAGCACCAGTCCAAACAACATCGTCGCTGAAGAGCAACTGGAAAAGGGAGTAGCCTAACGCAGACAGATTTTTGACAATTACTTGAAACAAACAAAAAGAAAGAAAAGGGATGAAAGAAATACTCAAAAATACATCACCTACATTGTACAACCTGGCCATTTCCTCCACTTGTTCTTTCTGCAGATGTGGCTGGAAAGTGCCAGCAATTTGCAACATTATCCACATCACTTCATCCCGCGCCCTCCGATATCCCGTTTTCACGAGGACGTTTGATAGAAGACTTAGTAGCCTGCTCAGGTTTCTGGAAGACGGATTTTCACGATGTTTACTGAGATGCGACAAACTCTGCTTACATATGTTTCTGCGTGATACCATACATGATGATGCTCATAAGATTTTCCCACTGATATCGTGGAATCTCCATCTCCTCAGGCAGCTTTTGCACCTAATCAATTACGCAATTACCCAAAACTGACACTGAACTTTGAAGAATTCAGCTTACTTCAGCCATAGTCTCGCTTATAAGGACAGATAAGATTTCGTCCCACTGAGTCCTGCCATGGGTAACTTGACGAAGGAGGCCCTGATTGGTAAGTCTTCAATCTCGATGTGCAGGTAACAAGACAGCAAAACGTACCGAAAGCACTTCTTTCCCTCGTGGTTGCCTAATCACAGTGTACAGCAGGTAGGTCTGAGGAGCTCTCAGCTCAGCCTTATAGGGTAAATAAGGAGCTCGATGACTGAAACAGCCTCTAGTTAAAGGGAAGTTGAAAATGCAAAAAAAAGAAAACAAACAAAAGCAAAATGTAAATTAGATGAAACGAAGCAAAATGCGATGGGCTAAGAATTTGTCACCTTATCTGAGTAGTCAAGTGATCGATCCGACATGATGCTGCTGAAGCAGCGAAAGATGGATGCGCTGGTAGAGGGAAGAGGAAGCACCTCCCAATTACATAGCTAAGCTCAGCTACAGCGCGGAAATACATTATCAGTTCCGACAGTCTGTGGGCTAGACGCTAAACATCGGGTCATTGTCACAAGTGATCAAAAGAACAGGAAATGCAAGTAAACTGACAGGGAACATGTAGGCGCGCTTCAGTATCCCTCTGCTCAGTTCTGTTAGCGTGAATATGGGAGGAATGACGTTGAGGTCAGGATCAAGAATTTTCAAAAGAATCTGAAAATGCAAAAATGCTAAGACAAAGAATAGGTAATAAAACATGTAACTTACACGCTCAGGTGGCAGCAGTTGCCGCCTTTGTTCAGGTGACAGTTGAGCCGGTATACTGTTGAATTGTTGATAAATCAAACATCTGAAGAGGAGCGTTGAAAATGGTCAATAATACAAGTTTCAAGCCGGTTTAGATATAAAACTATGTATATTTAAATGCCTAGTCTTCCAGATGTTAATGAAAGTAAGTATAATTCTCCTAATTAAACGTGAATGTAGTAAGTAAAGAAATGAGACTACAGCCCGTAGTATTTGAGAGAAATAAGAACTGTGTTCAAGAATAAAGGTATCAAAGCTTACTTGAACAAACTCCTGACACCTTTGTAGTCCATCAGCGGTATATTTTCTTCGATGAAAGTCCACTTCTGAGGATCCATGATAGTGCGAAGGGTAAAATCTGCTGTGAGAGCTAAACCCTCTACGCACATACTGAAAAAAGCGAAATGGAGCAAAAAAAGCATTTCCACTTATTCAACTGACTTTATTGAAAGCACGCCTGCAGCGTGTGCGTAGTAAAGTATAGCATCTACGACGCGCTCATACTCTTGCCGCCACTGAGCAGAAGCTTCATGTACGATAGTTACCAGTTCCATGAGGAGAACTCCTCTTTCTTTCTGAAACAGATAAACTTCGCATCGGATAACTTTTCTGATCTTCGATCTCATCGACTGTGGCGGGTTATAGTAAGTCTAATGATAGAACGGTAAAAAATGATATAAAAGTAGATACAAATACTAGATCTCAAGAAAAACTCACCTCATCCATTTTGCTAAGCAGGACAACTGCCTGAACACCGAGCATCTCATCGAAATCTTTGTTGGCCGTTTGCATTTGCCAAAAAACGACTTCAAGGAAGTTTTCGTGCTAAAAATTTTCAAATTTAGTTCTATGTTCACATCCTGGTTCAGTTACCCACCACAAATTCTATGATGCATCGGCGAAGGCGTTCGATGTCCAAAGGGCGTTCCGGTACAGCTTCATCTCTCGCCACTAGGGACTTGTCTTTCTCCTCCTGCGCATCACCGGATGATGCCGGCTGCGCGGAGGCGGCCGACATCCGAGTGAACTATCTGAATACAAATATATACACGACTCATTACACGCAAAGACTGGGCGCGGTGCGTCCGGCCAAGATAGTTCGTCATGGGAGAGACAGCACATGGTAGAGAAGCGAAAGAGCGCTCGATCAGAGAGACGCCAATAGGTCCGCAGTCTTTGCGTGCTATGAATCGCCTATACATCGAGATACACAATGCACAAGCAAACTCATTCACTTCCAAATATTTTAACGACATAGGTCTGATCGTGCTAAATTGTTAACAGTCACTTCCATGTTAAAAAATGACATTTCAGCTTGCTAGCGAACAACGCAAACTTTGCGACCAGTGTTGCGGCGCGCACCCTGTCATCGCGGACCCACAGCTTCGCACTTTTCCTCGGTAGAATAACCACAAATATACTAGCAAAGATGCAATGATTTTCTCATCCGAACTATAGGGCTTTTAGTTGCCAAGCACTTACTCTGGGGAGATATTCACTAATGTCCTCAGTGATGGGCGGTATCAAATAGCCCGATCGGGCGATATGCGTTTGTAACGGAACAGCGCCCAATAGAGAGCGGAAGATTGACGAATATCTTTCTCAATTAGCAAAACTGGTTACTTAGAAGTGTTCTCCTGATGAACAAAAATCTTTCAGATTACAACTAAAATTTCCAAACCGAAACTTGCCCTTCCGCTACCTGAATTTTGAAATTATTAAAGGAGTTTGGCAATCAGATGAAAAGCAGCATTAAATAACACTTAGCCCTTAGAAACGATAAGAAATTACCCCTTCAAGCCGTGATAGAAACTTTTGTATTCAGTTGGAATTCCGAGATAGCAGACGTGTTTGCGGTGCAGCAGATTAGACGCAATATTGCGGTCTACACAATCTATAATTCAATCGTCGCTAGTTTCTTTCCCTCGCGTACCATTTCTGCCAGAGAGTTAAACTTCTATATTTGCTTTCCGCGAAGGACACGCTTGATTATGTAAATATAAGGTTTGTTCCTTGAGATAGATAGCCTATAGTTGAAACAATAATCGTAGGTGACAATGGAGGTGAATGATACAGCACATGAATACCTTTCGCGAGGAGAGGAAGCCATTCTGGTGGAGGTTAGCTTCTAGTTTCAATCGTTTTCAAACTTTACGTGTTTTTTTAGCGCGTACGAACTCGTCGTTTCAATTTTATTATTTAAAATGATATTTTAGCAAGAACTGATAGTGATTTCAGGATGGGATTGATGTGGAGAGTATTGACGAAGTAGTTTATGTCAACGACATCGGCGGTATCATCGTACCAGAGGTGTACCAACAGTGGCAAGAAGGTGCCGTTGCACTAGAGGAGATCAGTGGTGAAGGGCCGGTAATTAAGTCCCACTTTTATAAAAACCTCTATTTCGTTGAAGTCTGGGAGTTATAGTTTGCTGGTAGTGTTCTTGCGCAGTAGAGTTTGAGGTGACTATAAAACCTCGTTAAGGAGACAAGACGAGCCTAGTAAAAATCTCTAAAATGTCAAATTTTATTTAAAAAACGCTAATGATACTGGACGTTGGGGATTTAAGTGTGGTAATGTGAAAAACCATTATCCGTCGGAATCCGGCGCTGACTCTAGCTACAAATATAGATAGCTAACGCGACCATAAAAGGTGACCCGGCTGCCTCTTACTTTTTCATTGATCATACTTATCTGATTATAAAGTGGTCGTGTATTTGGATATGATGTGTTGTTTATTTTCTGGGCCGTATATATAACTGATCATTTCGCTATCCCTATTCAAATAATGAATGGGGACCTGAGTTTGCTAACAACTGATGTTGTGATGGATGAGTAGAAGTATTTACGGACTCTTTTTGTTATAAAGGATTTCAAAACAAGGCTGTCATTGATAAGGATGACTTCATCTCCTGAACAATGTATGTACACGTTTTGGGAAGCAGAGGTAACTTTATCATAAAGCCTTTATATTCTAGCGATAATTTATTGGGATATCTCGATAATGATAAATTCCATGAGATATCCTAGAAAAACATCAGTTCCTTAGTTTTTGCACGTCATGGTATATTGAGTGAGTATCCAAGATGAGGAGAATTTTCAGTTCCGTAGCAAGATCAGAAAGTAAACAAGACAAATGATAGTTTCAGGATGACCTAATGATGTGGTAAGTAAGATTTATACGTAATAAGTAAGATTCATAGCCAAAGGAAAAATAAGAAGCAGCTGGGTCCATTTTTATGGTAGCGTTAGCTATATACTGTAGCTAAGGTTAGCGCCGGATTCCGACAGATAATGGTTTTGTTAATGTGCCATTCGATGCATCATGCAGCAGTATTATCAACGTCAAACTCCTTTATACGCAGTAGACGAAGAAGTGGGCTCACAAGGGAAGGAAATCACTAATGCGTTTCTGAATGCTGATTCCAAATCTGCTTTCCTTTCTTGCGGTACTACTCTCCGAAAGAAGGTATGAGCGTTTGAATGTCCAAGTTTGTCAATCACTGAGCGCCGTAAAATTAGCGGAAAACTCTAAAAATCACCTACGCAAATTTTTACCGGCTGCTCCTTCCCTGCAAACATTACACTGATACAAAATTGTTTCCCATTTTTAGATTTCTTGTACACCTTTTCGCCAATTCTAGGCCACTTAAAGCTTGACAAGTTCGGACGTTCGAACGCTCATAACTTCTTTCAAAAAGTAGTTCTGCAGAAAAGGAAAGCGGATTTGGAATCACCCTACAGGCGAGTCTAGCGATATAGATCTCGTTTTTGTTCACCAACTTATGTTGGTAATCTACCCATACTTTAGCCACTGCCGTACCTTAACCATTATCCTAACAAGGAAAGGATACCAACATTAGTCGGCGATTGAAGATGAGATTTATATCAATAGACGCGCCTTTGCACGCTGATTATAGATCTGCTTTCCTTTTCTGCGGAACAGCTCTCCGAAAGAAGTTATGAGCGCTTGAATGTCCAAATTTGCCAAGCATTGAATGGCATAAAATTAGCGAAAAGCTCTAAGACAATACTTAAGCAATTTCCATCGGCTTTGTTCCTTCATTGCAAGCAATATGCTTGATACAAAACTGATTTCCCGCTTTCCGATGTTTTTGTGCATCGTTTCGTCAACTTTAGGCCACCTAAACCTTGACAAATTTGGACATTCCAACGCTCACAACTTCTTTCGGAAACTTATTCCGCAAAAAAAGAAAGCAGATTTGGAATCAGCGTTCAAAGATGCATCTACTGGTATACATCTCATTTTCAATTGCCAACTAGGTATCCTTCCCTTGTAAGATTATCTAGAGATTTCTTAGACCATTAATTTATTTGCTATACCAATGTGTGCTACAATTTTCTCCGCTATATGCCTACAAACAGCAATTCAAGATAATTATAAGGGCTCGTTTTTTTCCTGATTGAGACTCAAAAACGCTATTCCAGCTCGAAATCCAAGCCTACATAAGCGAGGCTGATGATGCGTACGAGAATCAGCCATATGAGTAAGTTATGATGACTTCAGTCTAAGAACTTCTTATTTTTGTTCTGTAGATATTCACAGAATGAAGCTTTGTCTGCAGAAGATGTCTCTATGCAACCGCACATCTCTCTCGAAGATGCCGTTCCTACACAATATGAGGATGGTGCGCAAATCTCATTGTTCTTTCATTTATTTGCATTTCAACTGCTTTATAAGCTTGATGACATCACTCGCTTACTTCTCACAGAAACTAGTGATGACGACACATCTACACGTTCTGAATGCGCTTGTTTTTGAATGAGTTACGGTCGTAGAATTTGTTGACATTGGTTGTGTTTGTCGATTCGCCCGTTGTTGATGCATTGAAAAACAAAACGTGCGGAACTCGGTAGCTCTGCAATGTTCAAGTCTAAACTAGGTAGCCAAAATCGAATGCTGAGATGGGCTCCGCATAAACTTAGCTCACTATCATCACTGCATCTAATTTTGTCGTGAAAAAAAAATTAGTTTTTTCACTAGTCTTATCGAAATTGATTGGATTCGTTCCGTACAAATGGGCATCCTTACAGATGAATTCGAATACGCTGAAGATCTGTTTGTACCTGAAGGGAGTACGAATAGTGATGAATATGAAATGGAGGCAGATAGGATGGCGAATCGAGGCCGTCGGTGCGACTTCGCTTTTTTTCGTTTATTTGTTATTTTTTTCGGTTTACTTGTCTTAGTAAGAGAAAATTGCGCCGTGGAAAAGCGGAACTTCATGACTTGATAGTCTTTTGCTTACGACCTTTTGCCTCCTCAGCACCCATACGTGCGCAGTACATCTTCATCTCTGTTTTGGAGAGGAAATCCGTAGTTTTTCAACTTTGAACTGTATGACTCTGTTTCAGGAAACCACTGACGATTGTACAGTGTGAAGTATGCGGTGTTGTTGTTAAACACCCGTCAAAAATAGAGGTGTGGCCTAATGCCTTGTTCTACTAGTTTACTTCTATACCATTATACTATGCTGTCATTTTTAAGGCTCACATGCGCACTCATACTGGAGAAAAACCGTTTGAATGTGAGATTTGTGGCACAAAGTTCACGCAGCGCACTCCCATGCTCAATCACGTTCGTCGCCATCTGGGTCAGACTCCATATGTTTGCGGTTATGGATGTGGGAAAAGCTTTGTCAACAATGCACAGAAGAATGCGCATGAGTTGAGGCATACAGGATCGGTTTGTTTCAAACTCATATCCTGCAATTGCTCGATTTGTTTGACTTTCCTTCCAGAAGCGTAGCGGGCCTCCACGACCGTACTTGAAACCCCCTAAACGTCATGTTTGGAATAAGGCGGTCTCAAAACCTGAAAATCGACCCCGACAAAGCGATGAAGAGCGAGCCACAATGGTTGATTTTGCTCCTCCTGTTGGGCAAATCGAGCCACCTATCTCAGCTGCGGCCAGCAAAAGGTGTGGTAGCGATCCACTTGATCTCTCAATGCTTTCCATTTGTCTTTCCAGACTTGATGAAGTAATTGAGTCCGTAGTCACTGGAATTCCGATCAAAAAGCGCAAGACCAGGCCTGTTCGTGCGCCAATGCTTGTGCAATGTCAAGTTTGTGGGCTTATGCTCAAGCATGCTAGCAAAATCAAGGTAGACCCAGCTATTTTCTACAAATAATCATTTTGGTGATTCTAGGCTCATATACGTACTCATACTGGTGACAAACCGTACGCCTGCGACTACTGCGATGCTCAGTTCAACACATCAGGAACCCTCAATATGCATATAAAGAGAAAACACACGGCAGGTGGGTCACCACTTTCTCAGCTTTCTTACGCTTACTTTTTTGTCCATTCGTAATGTTATATTTTATAGGTGAGCGACCTTATGCTTGCACTTGGGATTGTGGTAAGCGATTTGTAAGTATATCCACCCGGAATGAACACGAAAGAGTGGTGCACGCCGGTACCAAGAGATACGAATGTACGGTTCCAGGTTGGAGTTACTTTAAGTTCAATTCCTGTGTTATATTCAGTGATTGACAGCGTATTTTATTTTTGCTTTGAATTTTTTTTCTTGACCATGACTTTCAAGATCAGTTTTTTGTATCAGCAAAAGTTATGTTGTTTGATACCACTTTCAGGGTGCTATCGTATGTTCACTCGTAGGTGCTATCTGATGTTACATCGACAAAAAGAGCATGGGCTTCTGTTCAAACCAGTCTTCGATCCACAGGTTGATTCTTTTGATTAGCGTTTTGACTGCATGTGATGCTTTCTAGTAGGATAAATCAATCGTTTACATGTGATTTTCTTAGGAAATAGAAAAAGCTGAGAAGGAAGCGGATATGGAGTTAATGACTGAAAAGGAAGATGGAACTACAGAGTTTGGTAATCCTGATCAGGTACGCTATTTTACAGAATTTTCTTTTGTACCTTTCATCTGTCTTGTTTCACAGATGATTTATTGGCGTAGTGTGCTCATGAGTAACCCCTCGGATGTCATGTCTTTGCAGCTCCTCGTCGATCCCACAACTAATATGCTTGTCCACGTCTCGGAAGACGGCATGGTTCTTGAACCCCTAGCAGAACAACCCACTTTTGTTGGCGAGTTTGTTGAGGAAACTGTGGAGCCTGAATATGAAGAAGTAGGTCCAGATATGCTTCATTCTTCCTTTCTTGCTGACTTAAACCTATCTCCATATGACTTATGGTCGTGATTCTCATTAGTTTTTTTTGACAGGTTGTCAGAGAAGAAACAAACGAGAAATCGCCCGTCCCTTATACATTTGCGGAACACTCGAAGACCGTGCGCTACGTCCCTTCAGACATAGGCTTAGATCTAGGCTCGTCCGAGGTTGTCGGCATACCTTTACTCGAGGAAGAGATTAACCAAAGTGGTCATAGTGGTGAGGTACGCGATATGCCCGTGCTGACTGAAGAGAGAAACCCAAAGCTCGAGAAGGTAGAAGAGTAGTAGAAGTTTGCCAATTTCCTTTTTTATATTGTACTAGCTGGCATACCCGGCTCCGCCGTATGTTCCGAATAGAAAATTCCATTTCTTAACCGATCCGAACCAAACTTGGCACACATACACTTCGGGTCCCGGCGGGTGTCACAGTCCACTTTTCGTTATCGATTGATGTCGATTTTATCGATTTTTTGCAAAATTTGAACTAGGGGGCTGGAATTTGGCAGAGGGGTGTAATCGAGAATGCTGATCACCCCCGTGGGGGTGATCAGCATGCTCAATTACCCCCCTGTGCCAAATCCCAGCCCCGTAGCTCAAACTTTGCAAAAAAATCGATAAAATCGATAAAAATAATGCACCATTTTAAAAACTAATGTTGTATTCGTAATCAGCATGCTCGATTACCCCCCTGTGCCAACTCCCAGCCCCGTAGCTCAAATTTTGCAAAAAATCGATAAAATCGATATCGATCGATGACGAAAAGTAGCCTATGACACCCGCCGGGGTCCGTAGTGTATGTGTGCCAAGTTTGGTCCGGATCGGTTCAGAAATGGAATTTTCTACTCGGAACATACGTACAGACAGACAGACAGACATATAGACAAACAGACATTCAGCTTTATATATAAGATGAATGCCATCTTTACAGATCAAGGAAGAATCCGATCAACAGCTTTTTCCCAAACAACGGGTGGTAAATATCTTGAAGAGAAAATTGCATGTGCGCTTGCCTCGTGAATGATTGGACTGTTGTAAGTAGAGTGTCGTTTGTTGATGTCCTTCGAATAGTACATAGCTTTTTTCTTATGCAGTGATGAAATGTTGAAATGGAAAGTTGTTTAATTGTTATCGTTTACGTTATCTGTTCATATTGTATACGGGTCAATTTTTGTCATGTTCAAAGTACTGTTTTGCTTAGCGTTTGCACTCCTACGCTATTATCAAATTGTTGTAGGGTCACCAAGCGTTGTTAAACTTTGGTTGCGAATTGATTTTTCCTTGTTTCTTCTGGTTAATGCTTAGAATAAATGTATTAAAAATCCCTTTTCGAATAAGATCGGTAGTTTCTCCTTTTCGACGATATCTGTACGAATTAAGTGAAATGGCGACCCCTGATCTGTACATTTTAGTTATGAATTTCAGATTATTTTGACCACTCTAAAATGTTTGAGGAGGCCGCTACGGCGGTCGGAACTTCAGGATTGAATTATATAGGTTACGGGAGTCCTGTTCGTACGACAGTTGAAGAGCTGGAAGAAAATGAGGTAACTGTTTCTCGTGTTCTTTGTCTATCATTTTCAAAATGCAGCAGCGCTGGTCCGTCATTTGAATATCTGATCTAACAGCGTGTTCAAATGATGGCGTTTTTCTAAGAAAACAAAAAACCTATCTACTGCAGACTAGATTCATTCAAGATTGCAGCTCAACCTTGAGACAGCTCTGTTTTATTGTTTTACTTTTTTTTTCTGTTTTTTAGGAAGGCGATCTAGATGTAGGTGGCGGTAATGAAGAACGATATGATTATGTTGAAGCCAAGGCAAGTACCTCAAGATTAAATACTAATGATAACTACTTACACATTTGTAGGAGGAACACGATTCCCATTATGAACGTAACTCTATGCGCAAATATCGTATGGTGCGACGAAAACCTGCTCAGACCTTTTTTTGTGCGCCGTGCAACAAAGAGATCAAATATCCATCGAAGATTGCTGAACACATGAGGAAGCATACTGGTGAGCGGCCATTTCAGTGTCAGATATGTGGTGCTGGTTTCTCGCAAGGACATGTCTTAAAGGTGGGTCGTTTGTTCTCCTCTTTATGTTCCAATTATACACATTTTGTTATCGGTTTGATTATCAAGGTAGTTTACTTTTCTAATCCATGTGTTGCGAAAACGCACACACTGAGCTAGAATTTGCTCTTCAATTTCCTACTGAACTGCCTTTTGTCGGTTTGTGAAGTTCAATTTTTGAGATTTTTGAGAGAATTAAGGACAGGGCATACATCACGCGGTTTCATCGCCTTGCGATTCTCACAACTAGACAATTGTTACGAGTTTATTGTATGTCTAGTGCATCACATTTGCTTCGCAGAGGCTTCACTGGTCCTACTATCTATACGCCTTACTCATTCTCGCGTTATGATGGCATTGAAACTCATGGCACTGTGTTGACTATCACGGAGAACTTGTAAACATTATTCATCCTGAAAACTTTTTCATTTGAGATCAGTAAATTCCGCGTTGGTGAAAATTTTTGCAGAAGATTGAATGCAAATTTGAATCGGTTTTTGAACTTTTTATGTAGTCGTCATAAGTGCAACAGTCACCATGTACTATATCTCTGTGCAATGACGCTTACCCGAGCTTATTCGCTATGCTGGATCCGAAAATCCACACTGGAGAGGGCGAAATCGGCGAAAAACGAGCTTAAATGAAGGTGGTAAATCAGCAGGTGGGCGGGGGCTGGAACATGCTCTATGAATTTTTTAACAGCCACAGACACACATAAACACACAAACCGCCTTTAGCCCGTTATTATTACATCTTAATCATCATCTTGCATTTCGGTTATGATAGTTAGTCACGATCAGTCGTGTAGGAAAACTGTCACAACCGAAATGCAAGATGATCGGCGTGCAATGAATTGGTAGCAGTTGTTTTGGTGGATAAATCGCGAGGCGATGAAATCGCGTGATGTTTGCCCGTCCTTTTACTATGTACTCGAGCTCGCGGGCTGGACAGCTTGTTTTGGCACTTTTTCCATCGTAATCGCCTACACAATCTTTCGACCTTTTGTTAAGGTTCACCTTCGGGGTCATCACGGTGAACTGCCGTATAAGTGCTCCTACTGTCATCATTCATTCCAATCGTTGGCTTTCAAAAAGCAGCATGAAAAGGTTTTGTTCAAGCTATTTTTGTTGAGCCACTTTCGGATTTTGACCATTTTTTGTTTAGACACATTACCAACCGGAGGAAACGAAAGTTGGTCGGCAATTAGTCAATATAGTTGTCCATTCGGGAGCGAGTGGAGAAGAAGTGGATACCGATGCCATGGTTGATGATGTGCATAACGAAGAAGCAGTGGATTCTCATGCGTATGCCTGCCCAATCATAGAATGTGGTATGCAGAGTCAAAACAAAGAAGAGGTAACTTCTTTTTTGTGACATTGCTCGTTCCGTATTAGCAGTGTTTAGGTAGAGGAACATATCGCTGCTGTTCATGGCGACATGCAAGATTGGGTTGACGAGGGTACAGAAGCTGAAGCTTATGCAAATAGCTCTGAAACGATCGTTGTTAGTGACGCGCAAGACGAGCAAGAACAAAATGTCGTTAGCGAGCAACACCCCATAATGGTGACCGGCAACCAGCAGTACGGGTATTATCCATATGAGGAGGAGAGTGAGTGCAGTTTCTTTTTTTTTTTGTTTAATTTCAATCGCAGTCAGTGTCTGTTTTCAGCCATGGTATTAGATGATCAGTCTGTAGATCTCGAACTGGAGCGACCTCCTGTCAGTTTGGAGAGCGAAATACCTCAAGAGGCACCAGCAGAAGAAAGTTATCCAAATGTGCCACTGCGGGTAGCTTTGAATATTTTTGGGAGCTGAGATGATTATATGAACTGCTTTTACAGGTTTTTGAACAGTATGCTTATATAGACGACCCAAATGTTCCACCTCCTACTGAGGAAATTGAGGTGAACTTTCTCTGCTTATATCATATGCAGCACGTAAACAAATGATCAAGTTCTATTGCAGTGATTCGTGTTGAAAAAATGCAATTATATCTCGTGCTTACCTTGTGCGCTAGAATGTTGGAAATTTCTACTGTTTTAATTTGTTTTTGCTTTATTTTTCAGCGTTTGTGGTCACAATCACTAATTTTTCTAACTTCTTTAGGCGTAATGTTTACTTTCAGTTCTTCAACTTTCGGCGTTTTTGAACATCTTCTCACACCCTTTTCAGTAGTCGCTCAAAAGCCTGAGCAAGCTTCATCTTGAGTTGTAACAGTTTAGAAATGTTTTTTTTTCCAGATAGAGACATCCGAGCAGCAGTACATGCTAGATGACAATGATCCTTCTCATCTATCTCTTCAGGAGACGATTGTTTATGACAACATTGTTGGGTTAGTTCTCTCAAAGTTTGTTTGAATTTTCGTGCTATAATCTTAAATTTCAGAAGCAATGTTGATTTATTCGACTTAAATCTCAATGCTGATATGCCTGGAGAGGAACGAGTGCGGGTACTTATGGATCCGAAGCCTCCAAAGAAAGGTCGACTGACTTATGATGAATACTATGATAGAATGGTGGTGTGTTTTACCTTTTTTCTAGCTGTCTCATCATAGATTTCTGATCTTTTCCTCTTTTATTCTCATGCTTTGTCGTTATAGAACAAGAACTTGCAAGAGATGGAAGTAGATGCTGCGACTATAGAGATGGCCGCCCCGGTCAAGCATGTTCGTTTGATGACAGAAGAGGGGCCTGTGGTGATCGCTCATCCCCATGGTCGAATGAGACGGAACCGCTTGATCCGATCGCAGTCAGATCGGCCGCATGGAGCCAGAAATTTGGACTGGATTATTGACGCTGTTGCTAGGGTAATTGGTTTTGTTTTCAGCGTTTGGCATCTGAAGAGTCATTATTTTAGGGCATTGACGTCGACTCTGCTAGCCCTCATAATCGACGGAAACCTGTGATGCATAAATGTCAATATTGTGGACGTGTCGATAAGTATCCAAGCAAAATTAAAGCTCATATGAGAACGCACACCGGCGAGAAACCATTCAAATGCGATATTTGTGGCATGACATTTGCACAAAGAACTCCGATGCGATTGCACGTCCGGCGTCATCTGGACCAGAAACCGTTAGTTTTCTTTGATTTGTGGCCAGAGATGCAAACTAAGCTATCGGCTTTACAGGTACATATGTACTATCGAAGATTGCAATCTTCGATTTGTATCCGGTGCACTTCTGAATTATCATCAACAAACGAAGCATTTCATGACCAAGAGGTTAGTTCGTTTTATCTTTTCCATTAATTATGTATGTTTTTCTCGATTTTGATTGATTCGCTTGACTCGTTTTTGCTCGGATTTTTTTTGGTACTGATTCACTTTCTTGATATCCTTTTTATGTGAACGGAAATGTCGAATGGGAACAAGTCTTCACTGTTGCATATTCTTTGTATAAAAATTGATTCAAACTATGATTGGAATTGACACATTCGATACGATCTTTTACGCTGCATTTTGAAAAGTTGAAAAAGGTTGCTCGAAAAGTGTCACATATTTGCCAGCCAGCTTGAAACAAGGTTCACTTATACTGCAATGTAATCATCTACTCATAATAAGCTGAAAGGAGCTTTCATATATTACCCTTTGCTCTGGAATTCAAAGAAGCCGCGCCTCTTCCAAGATTTCATAGTTAGCTCAGTCGTAGCCAACTATTATCAATATGTTCACGCTATTTATCACTTACAAGGGAATGGTCAGAAATCGAAGTGGCTAATCTAAACGAGCTGCATACCACTAGATGCAGCATGGGACACTGAATTCGAATCTGTATTCCTTTTCTGCTTAGCGCCTTTGTGGACCAAGCTATGAGCCGTGAAATGCCATTATTTTGCTAGAAAATCGTGCATGCGAAGCGCAAATTTGGCAGTTCAGAGCCATGTTCAGCTTAAAGGTGGGCTAAATCATGCAGTCAGGTTACCTTAGATTCTTGTAGCCTAAAGATGAGCTGAAGTGCAACAATGTGCTCACTTTCGCAATTTTTATGTACGATTTTTTTTTGCAGTGAAACTGCTCATAACTCCGTCTGCAAGGGCGCTAAGCAGGTACGGAATACAGACTCGAAATCAGCATTGAATGCTGCATTGAATGATAGGCAGCTTGCTTGGATTGGCCACTTCGACTTCTGACCATTCCCTTGTTAGTATATAATGCTGGTTTTTTGCAGATATATCTGCCTCAAAGGATGCGGACGTTTCTTTGCCAGTGCGAGAAATCAGCGGAATCATGAGGCCAGGTGTTTCTATAATACCGAGCAAGCTCACGATTTTGGTGACGCTATATATGAGCAGCTGGTCTACAACGATCAGGAAGAGGAGGAGGCCAGTGAAAATGACGTGAGATTTGACTGTTCATTTTTTACCCGAACTAATTCTCTGTTTAGCATGAAGAAAACGACCGTCCATTCCAGACTGAGCAAGAGCTTGAAGAGGCTTTGGAAGCTGTTGAGACATCATTGAATGATACGGATGTAAAGGTTCTAGACACGAAACAACCGCAATTTTTGCATCAGTAGCGCGTTTTGTAGATTTGATCAAATGATCTCTAGTCAACAAATAGCCTTTCCACTGCCCTTTTCATCGTCAAATTTTTAGGTATCTGAGATTTTCTATATGTGACTTACGTTTAGTTGTAAGCAACTGCCTTCATGCGAAATTCACTTCGTTGATTTTTTTGCAGTTTTTTATTGTTGTGAATATGAGCTTTACAGCTAATTTTGCCAAAATAGGTATGGTTCTATTTGAACTTGACATTTTCTGTTAGAAACGGGTTGTTTTCTTTGACAAAAAATTCTATGACCGAGCCATTTTTGTTGTTTTTGATATCTTCATTTGTATGTACCTTCTGTTTTTGCTGTTGACTCGAGTGTTGAACACTTTTACTAATAAATCTAATCATTGGTATCCTAAATTGTCATCAATCTCTTTAAACTTGATAATCTATGGCGAAAATAGCGGATAATACTCCACCAGAACACGCGAACGCTAGCGGCGTCTCCATGACGACGACAATAGTATGCAGTAATTTTGCGGTTAATTTTGGCCTTTCCATGGATTATTTAGGCTTTTGCTTTCCTGGGACCACAATTATTTTTTCTTGTCGGTGCGGAAAATTAAGCCCTCATGCTCCAACATCTTGCGTTTCAATTTCCCCTTATTTCACTACAAGAGTAATGATTCGCTGAATTTTTTATTTCGAGACAGCATAATCGTAAACACGCTCATTCACCCATCCTCTTCGACTCCTTTATACGACAGTCAGCATCAACAGAAATTTAGTTTTAAAGCTTTCTTGTTCTTGCAGTACCCATATGGCTCCCCAGTGTTCCACTACTAAACAGTCAAGGGGTCATCATGAAAAATCAAATCTTCTTTGTTCCTCAAAATCCTGTTGCTATTTTTGCAAGCTGCAGGCCACTTACAATTGTAGACTAATTTTGCATCCCAAATTGAAGCTGCAAAATTGCAAGTATCACACCCCATTTAATACCTTGGCGATACTCTCCACTCCTCTACTTCCACCGCCAGGCACACGTAACAGTGGTAGGTAGTTCCAGGATTTCCGTTCGAGAGGAGGAGGGGAGAGGGGGGATTTTTTTTGGATGGAGGTGCGTGACGTTAGCCGCATTCCGGAGGATTTCTTGGGATCCTTGAGATTTTTGCGGGCCCATGACCTCGAAATTCTAGAAGTAGCGACCATGGCGACAGCCGCGCCCTCGATAGAATTTTTTTGCAAAAGTAATTTGAATCGGGATTTTCAAAGATTATGACTATTTACCAAGGTATTGAACGGAAGTATAAACAAGTCAGCTGCACATTCTTACATCTAGCTCATGTAACTCCTTCTTCAAGAACGGTAGCACTCAAAAAAAAAACAGCATTGGGTGTTATAAAGAAGGCTTAGTGAAACTGTTAACATAACATCGTTGTCTCTTTCGGAGATAATTTGTGTTGTAGAATAAAGTGTCGTGCAGTCTTAGGTATGATTGGCTCAAATTTCAGTTTCCCTTTCCATCAGCCAGAAATATGATTTGTAGATCTCATCTGCTGCTTTCCATATAACTGCTTTATTTATATTTGATGGTGAAGCCAAATGCCACTAATCTTGACTCACTTTCAAGATGCTTTCGGATGTGACATTGCACAAACTTGTCATTGAACCCAAAAAGCCTCCGACGGTTGAGTATGCTGAGGGCTCATCGATGACAGACACTCTAAAAATGAAAGACCAAGAGATCGATCCGATGGAGAGACGATCAGTCGCTACTGAAACGGAAGCCGAAGAAACTAAGGCTAGTGCCGAAGGAGTTACGATCAGCGAGGAGGTATCCTTATGTACACGGCTACCTAGCTATATGGTCTCTGTACCTAAATTTGCTCAGACTATCGCATTAATGGAGTCATTGATTCATGACTCGTCTACATCTCGAATCTATGATCGTTTGTTACCGTTTCATACCACCAGTCTCGTACAACTGCAACCAATTCGTACATACCCGGTTCCACTTGTAAGTGAAGCTATTACACTTGAATCTGGAAGAAAAGTCAATTCAGCTTCTGTCTGAGACACTACCGGTTGTCTCTATTTCGTGTGGTTCAGCTGGCCGTACTGCTATACTTGTAGGCGAATCAGAACATGAGACTTGGTGCAGCCACGAAGGGAAGGTGATAATCACTCAAAGAAGCAAGGTAGGTGTTGTCGATAACAAATCTCAATTATTACAGTATTCTTTAGGCTACAACCATTCCATTAGCAGTATGCCCATCAAGCTCTTCTTGGTCTCCACATGGAGTTCTTGCCGTCGGAGATGTCGCTGGCGATGTCCACGCGGTGATTGGCGAGGCGATTGTTGGCGTTGCAAAGGTTGCTTTCGAGAATTTCTTAGCTATCATCTCGAAGAACAGCCCGAACAAGTAAGATGCAGGTGCACACACAAGCCGTATCGTTTATGGAGTGGATATCGCCTTCACAAATTCTTTCCTGTGGAGTGGATGGTAACATCACATTGCTGCAGCTCAAAGGAACGTCATTTGATATTATCAAGGTGAGAGAAGGGTACAGTCGAGTAGATTTCCTGCTTAATATAGTGTCCCTGCAGACGCGACAACGCTGGGGCGTCAATAAATGCCTTGCGAGTTCACGAGCTAGTGTTTTCCATTGTTTTCTTTACTTATTTCATGCTTTTCAGTTGATTCGTTGCTGATAAAGAGGAAAATGGTAAGTTAAGGAGTAGTTTCTGTTTTCTGAGAAATTCTATCATCGCATATTCACAGATATCTCCACGTGGAAGCATTTCGCGTCAGCTTCTTGTCTATTTTTTTTGTCATCCCCTTTTCTTCTGTCACTTCTTCTTTCAAACCTCCTCCTTCTTGTGAAGCGTTTCTTTGAACGCTAGTTGGCTTGCCTTGCAGCAACTTCGGCTTTCATCCATAATAAAATGGCATTTCAGTCAAGTACTTCATGTGATAAAGACAATAATTCAATCGTAAAAACCCACTAGCGTTCAAAGAAGTACCTCACAAGAAGAAAGAGACATGAAGTGACAAAAAAGTAGACAAGAAGCTGACGCGAACTGCTTCCACGTGGCTATCTGTGAATATATGCGATGATAGAACTTCTCAGAAAACAGAAACACTCCCTAACTTACCCCTTTCTTCTTTATCAGCAACGAGTCACCTAAAAAGCATAGAATAAGCAAAGAAAACACTGGAAAACACTAGCTCGGGAGCTCGTCAGGCAATTATTGACGCCCCAGCATTGTCGCGTCTGCAGGGACACTATATTAAGCAGGAAATCTACTCGACTGTACATCTGAAACACACTTTCACAATAAAAACTTTTGACCAAGTTCAGGCGTTAGGTACGGGACACAAGAGACTGCTCATTTCCTTTGTTCCCATTTGCCTAGCGTTATTTCCGAATGCCTAACTTTGTATCTTGAAGCAAGTGAAACATCTTTCTACAACTCATGTGAAGTCTTGCTTCGTATCACATCATAATTTCTTGATCTCAAATTACATTAGAATGTCATCGAAGGCCTGCGAAAGTGCCGAACATCGTATCCCCGCCTCCGCTACTTCTACTTATAAACTCGGACAGAATCAGGGCAAAGTAACGGGCACGCGCCTCTTCCCCCAGAATGGATTGCAGGTCCAGCCGTCAGAGTCCTCCTTTATTTGCTAACAAAATGGGGGTCAACCGTGAATTAGAATGACACTCGTGGCGTAATTGTGCTTGCGTAATGCTAGTATTGTTTGCCAAAATGTGGAAACCCTCTCCGTTTGTAGGTCTATATTCTACCAGCTTTCTTGCCATCCTCAAGCAAGTTACGGTCATTAATGTACTCTACTTTGCTGACACCTCTGGTGTAGACTACATATTCGGGACGTTCCTAGCATGCTGATCTTCTTGATATTTGAGCCTTCGATGCATGTCAGTATAATGAAATCCTACCCTGTTGATAGTAAAAAGCCAGGACCGAAGCTTACGGCATATCACAGCAATCAATAAAACAACATACTAAAGGTGCCCATTACATTCCAGTAAAATGCAGTCACAACATGTACACTGAATTTGCGTTAACGCCCGATGTTACTGGTGTCCAGCGAGAAACCTCTGAGGCTCCTCCACCAACGTGTGTCAGGCGAGGAAGTACTCCAGCTCGAGAGCAGCCGTTCCTTCTCCTTATGGATCTTCTTGTCGCTAGCGATGTCGTGGAGGCGCTTTATCAAACGGCGCTTGTCTTTGATTGATGCCCGCTTACAAATAAATACGGAACTGATTTTGTGCTAGACTGGTAGTCCTCATAGCATAGGTGCGATAGGGGGAGCCGGGCTCTCCCCAGGTGAAGGGGGTCTCGGCTGTTCCCGACCTTCCAGGGTGAAGAGGGTATGTGAGTCTAGGGGGGGGAGGAAGAGAGAAAAGGTAAAAAAGCGTGTTATGAAGAGCTCTGATTTGTACCTTATTTAGGCACAAATTGAAAAAAAAATTTAAAAATTTTCAAAAGAAATTAAAAAATTTAAAAAAAAATTGATTATGAAGATCTGTGCTCCTGTTTCACTGCATCAACAAAAAGCGAAAGCAATAATGTTTATCCCAAAAGATGTACAAGTTAGGAACAACTTCATTTCCTGCACATCATCATCAACAATATCACTATCGCTAACGTCAGAGACAACAAGTTCGCTGCCTGAAAAATCTTCTTCTTCCTCCAAAAGGTCATCGGAGTAGAAGCAGAATTGCGTGCAAATGCGTTCTGAGTCGAAAATGGATTTAAAACTTTCTTCTTTTTCTAAGCGCTTTTGTGATTTTTTTCCTGGCCCTCTGGTAGCACCAGGAAGTCAGCAGGTAGGTGACCAGTTTCTTCATACCATCTTTTAGGATATCTCAAAAAGTCATACGGTAACAACCTGTCTGGACCACTTATACCAATCCTTTAAATGAAGTTTTTAGATAACAATGTGTTTAGTAAAAGGTTGACAAATCTTAAGTATTTGCTTAGATGCTCTATAGTTGTACGACTTCTGCGTTGTATTCTGATAACAGAGTAGATAGAAAATCTTTCTCCACCTCTGCCGTGCTAGTCGGAATGGAAACTAGCTTTGCTAGTAGGTCCATCAGATTTTTGCGGTAAGTAATGGGAAAAGAGCCAAATCTCATATGCTTTCGCAGCACGGGAAGGAAATAGTGCATACTTTTTGGGCCTTGTCGAACTCTGGCTTCACCTCCTCTGGCATACGTCCTGTTAGCTGATTAGAAAGCTGCTCAACTTCTTCTTTAACAGCATCTGCGGAATAGCCGAAAAAAGGAGGTACTATGCTGCGCGTTAGTTTTTTTTCAATATCATAGGTCATATTGTCACAAGGCGGATAACTAGCAAAAGCATAAAGCACAGAGTTGAGTTCGCACTCCAGTCGGGATCTAAGAGCAGTAGCTATGCTTTGTACTAACACCTTCCTTTTGTTCATATCCATGGCTGTGAATTTAGCAGCCTTGAATTCTTCAGCAACCTGAAGATCAGCAATGGACTTCCTGGACAATTCCTCATTGAAACTAGACAATCTGCTTGGATTCCTTATGCAGGAAATCAGAGAGTTTCGCTCAACTGCCAACTCTGTATCAATGTCGACAACATTTTCGTCGGCGTAAGATTCTCCTTCTGCCTCGCTGTTGAACTGGAACACATGCGAGTCATCTGCGATTTTGTAAAGTATTCTGCCTGCCGTTTCCTCTTCAAACTGCCAACCTTTCCAAAACATTGAGAAATATTTTAATAACATGTTATTCTTCTGAATGCCTTAGAGTTTTTGATTCATTGAAACCAATCATTCTCTACAAATTAAGTAAGGTGAGTCTAGAGCGTTTTCACGAATGTGACCTTCTTCAGCACTAGGTTTACAGAGTATAGATTCCAGAAATGGGCGGATTTTTGTGTGAAGGTGTGGAAATTCACCTATCTCCCATAGTTTTTTGAGTGTGTGCTTATAATGATAGCATAACTGTCAATCAAAAGCGCATTTTTTACCAAAAAAAACATAAACATACAACAACGATAAGCACGCTCAAATAGACGCGTTCGCTCACGTTCCCGTTAGCGCTGATAACGATGTCAATCCACAGCACATTTTTTACTATTAACGTGCTCCACCTCGCTCTTATTAAGTCGTCCAGAAAGTTTTTGCACATGATTTTCAAAATTCATAACTTCTGATTTTTCCAACCGATGTGACTGCTTTCACTTTTATGTGAAAGGGTAGGTCATGCTCTTTATAATGACATCCCAGCTGCTTAGTAATGGTCATTTGCTGCACAGATAGAAGCTCAAAACAAAATCACTCAAAATTCAAATTTTTGTGTAGGGTCATAAAAAATCAGAAACTTGCAACAGAATCGGAGCAGTCAGTATTGTAGGTTCTTAAACCAGCTCTTTCTAACAGTGCAAAGTTTGCTCCGATTGAGCGTCTTTATGAAAAGTTATAATTTCCGAGCAAGCAGTACAAAAAGGCGAATTTGATGTATTTTGGCATTTTTCAGGGAAATCATAACTTTTCATGGATACGCTCAATCGGCGCAAACTCTGCACTGTTAGAAAGAGTTGGTGAAAGAACCTACAGTACTGACTGCTCCGATTGAGCGTATCCATGAAAAGTTATGATTTCCCTGAAAAATGCCAAAATACATCAAATTCGCCTTTTCTCCGATTTTTTATGACCCTACACAAAAATTAAAATTTTGAGTGATTTTGTTTTGAGCTTCTATCTGTGCAACAAATGACTATTACTAAGCAGCTGGGATGTCATTATAAAGACCATGACTCACCCTTTCACACAAAAGTGAAAGCAGTTAAATCGGTTGAAAAAATCAGAAGTTATGAATTTTTGAAAATCGCGCGCAAAAACTTTCGGGATGACCTATACAATGTGTTGGCTTTTATTGGTCACCAAAGCAAATGATTTTTAGAGCCGGGAAGCAAAGAAGCCCTCACATGCTGTATACCATTCGGAAGCTGAGATCATGGAGAATCGACGTAGACCGTCGACTTTTTTCTAGGTCTTCTGTGCCGCGAGATATGAGGGATTTTATGTGCTTCAAAAATTAACTGATTTTGTGTCCTCACTTTCTGCTCTCCAAATGAATGCTACGAGAAAGTCGACGGTCTACGTTTGTTAATGAAGACTTGCTCTTTAACACAGATAGATAATCAGCAGTGATTAGGTCTTCTTTTGGCAGAAATCTGCTGTTGAAAATGACCATGTTTTCAGATAAAATGCGGTGTATCTCTCGGTAGAGGGGGGCTAGAAAGAAGTCGACGGTCTAGGTCGAATCCCCTTTTCCTGAGCTTTCGAATGGTATATAGGTTGCTGGGCGAAAAAACTAATCAGTTTTCAAAAATGGGGTGGAGATATTTACTATTAGCTTGCTCCAACCCAACTCCACCAATGTATTGGCTTTTATCGGTTACCGGAGCAAATGATTTTTAGAGCCGGGAAGCAAAGAAGCCCTAACATGCTGTATACCATTCGGAAGCTGAGATCATGGAGAATCGACGTAGACCGTCGACTTTTTTCTAGGTCTTCTGTGCCGCGAGATATGAGGGATTTTATGTGCTTCAAAAATTAACTGATTTTGTGTACTCACTTTCTGCTCTCCAAAATGCTACGAGGATAAATAAATAATATAAATAAAGATAAATACCGTTTCTTTAGTAAATTTATGAGCGTACTTGTTGTTTGAGGTACTTAGCCTGCTTTTCGTAACGATTTTATCATATTCTCAGAGTACAATACCAATCTCAGCCCAGGTGAAGGGGGTCATCGGGAGTTTGGCCTCAAAGTGAAGGGGGTAAGATCCATCACTCCCCCTATCGCAACTATGCCTCATAGGCTGCAGTGAGCAGGACTGGCGTTTGAGCCGCGAAGGCGGCGTTTATATCCGCGTCACATTAACAGTATTTTTGAAGAAACCGCGATTGTTGAAATTAACTGTTCGGTCTACATATCTACTTATTGAAGCTTCTTGACCTTGCAAGGCTTATTGTTCAAAAAAAAAAGAGCGGAAAAGCTTCGTTTTCTGACGGGCCGGGCTACTTCACGGGATTTCAGTCGTGACGCGATTTGGCAATATTCCAACTGTCCATAACTCACTATAAGTACATTTTAAATGCCTAGAAGATAGGGCATTTTAAATCCGCGTAAGTTATACACACTGTGCATGTGCAGTTTGCTAATGTTGGATCTGAAGACTTTTGAATTGCCAAATCGCGTTGCGACTGAAATCGCGTGATGTATGTCCGGCCCTTGAGGTACCCATGCAAACAATTGATGCATAAAGTATGTAGACGTAGTTTTTGCTTTATAGACAGTGAAGTTGACCGTAAGCGACCTGCCACGTATCATACGAAAGTCTTCGTCGTCCGTCAAAGCAATATCTGTCGTTTCAATGAGCAGGTTTGTTGAAATTTCATTCACAGCATGTGCAATTCTATAAATCGTATTTTCATAGGTTTGGCTCTGAAGTATGTGTTGCAACAGAGACGGGCGGAATATGGATCTTTTCGCTACCAGATCTCCATTCAAAGACCGTCCCAAGTGAACCTCAAGCAATTCGTACGGTAGTCTACTCACCACCGTTGATTGCACTATCAGGAGAAGGAGAATCGTCAACTCTTATGGATAGCGATGGAACTTTCATGGAGTCGCTTTCTATAGATTCTGATCAAATATGCAAAATAGACGAGTTTTTGCTATTTTCTGATGGATCTAGGGTCCTTGTGTACGATTTGAGTACTAGCAATGTCGTGCTCGACGAAAAAAGAATTATGCAAAGTTTTTGCACTACACCGCAGGGAGATCTTGTAGTGCTTACTGAAAACGAGCTTGTTACCTTGAGGATTGTAAAAGGTTACTCTTGAATGTTCGCTGCTCAATAAGTGGAAGTAAATATGTTTTGAACTCCTTCAATCATTGAAACAATAGAACTCATTAACCCAATAGAAATGTTTGGCAGTAAAGTTCATTTTTTACAATGGATGAAACAGAGGAAGCTGCAGCAGAGCCTTTATGGAAGGTTATTCGCCTTTCTCTACCAATAAGTGATCGCAAAACTCTTCTGGCTATCGCTGTTGGATTCGCTACCATAACTGCAGGGACTACATATGTATTTGTAAAATACAGAGAGGTGAGGTATCTTCGAACGACACTTAAAGAAATTTGAGGGCTACAAACTAAGTTGAACTACTAATCAGCATAGTTAAGAAGAAGCGAGAAAAGTCATCGGAGCAATCTTCCACATTAGAGGGCAGCGAGGAAGTAGAACTTGATAGAACACCGCCTTCGACTAGTAGTCTAAAAGATGTTTCTTGGAAATGTAAGTCAAAAAAGATGCACCCTTTCCCCCATATTTATATCCGTATAAGCTGTTGCAATTCGAATAATTTGCGTTCCAAATTGCGTCGACTTTCAAAGGTCGGTGAAGATCTGGCGAGGGGTGGGAAGAAGAGGGATGGTAAGAGTGAGGTTGTAGCTTTCCGTTTTGAAAGAACGATTGCCTATTTTGTAATCGCGTAAACATATTATCAACAGGCCAATTTCAACTTAGGTATAGATCAGTTTAAACATATGAACCCTCCTCTCCGGTCGGTTATCGGTGAGCGAGAGTGTTTTTATTAACTCCGACATCGTCAAACTTTGAACAAGGAATAGTGAATAGCCGTCAATATCTTCCACCCATCAGAGGGCTCTAGTCGATTCCGGAGAGAAGATGGATTCTTGTTTGAAAGAATTTCATCTTATTCCGAGTTACTGATAGTGTAGTGATTTCTGGCCCTCCATACAAGCCCAGTCTGCTCTTGTCGAATTCTGCATATCTCTATCCAGCAGTGGCGCTTCGTAGTTTTCAGTCATATCCTCAGCTATTACTCAGACCACATATTGAAAACTTTCAATCAGTTTGTTACAAAGCAGCATTGATCTCGACAAGGGAAGAAGCATAAAAAAGCATTGTAAGGATAATTTTGACTTGATTCTGAGCTTCTCAACATGACAACTGTTACGAGTTCATTTCATGCCTATCCTCCTACATTTCGGTTGTAATAGTTTTTCGACACGACCAGTCGTGCCTGGCTGCCACAACCGAAATGCAAGATAATCAGCATGCGATGAACTTGTAATTGTGTCGGGATAATCGCGAGGCGATAGCTTAACGTAGAGTTTTCGTTTACGTTTTCTACATGATTTGAGAAGCTGACAAGAAGGATCACACTAGGAAGAAGCCAGCAGCACTTTTTTCGCTCAGAAACGTGATAATTTTTGAAAACGAGGTCTTGTGCACGCGTTACAGCGATCCAAAGTCTTGAAGCAGGCCAGCGTGCGATTTGCATGTCCTCAGACAGTCGAAAGGATACCAAGGGAGGGCAAATGGCGGGGTCTGCCACTTCGTGCTTCGGAGCCCTCCCATTTCACGCATTTTGGTGCTATACGGGGCCCCTCCAAATCTGGCGCACCCCCGGAGCAGAGATTTGCGAGCCCCGGGGAGAGGTCCACTCGCCTTCTTGTGAGGTCACCGTGACAAGAAAAAGTAGGAACTCGCGTACGCTGTATAATTTGCGGCAGATCATGGCATTGCCTAGAATCCTTCAACAGCTGCTCTCAGAGTAAACCAGACTTACCGCACTGCTCCCATCAATCACTGGCCGCCTCTTCGTGTCTTTCTCAAATAGGACTCACAATATACATTCAGGATTGCTCTTTGCAGCCTGTTGTACAAGATTGAAGCAAGGTTGCGGACGATCCCTTAACGATTGCCAATCACCACTGCCATACGCTTTCGTACTTGTATCCATCTAGGCACAGTGGCTGTAGCTGCCAGTGTGCGTTCGATCGTAAAGGAATGAGATACTTTGCATGACGAAGATATCTGAATTCGTGTCTGCTTATGCACCATCCTTTCATATAAGCTTTTTAAAAAGGATAAGAAGTTCTCACAGCCTTCCTCAAAATCCAAGTTGCAACTAAAACTTATCCATATTTCAGCTGGTTCGGCTATTGACGACAAGTTTATTTATTCGACGGGCAGTTCAGCTCTTAGTGAGATATCCCCCTATTCGACGAAATCTATCTCTTCGCTTTCTGACACCGAACGTGCAAAAACGAGTTCTCGAAAGGTAATAGTAAACTTAAAGGCAGCGTCCAGGCAGATCTGGACCTATGGGGATTTTACATGGAAAATACTTTTGGGGCCCTAACTAAGGCACTGTAAAAGCGGCAGCGCACGTAGTGCTCTAACGGCTGAGATATTCCCCTCGAAACTGAACCTCGCGATCGTATTCGCATGGATTCATGGCAGTTTCGCGCCAGGACCCACGCCTTGCGCCATGAATCCATGCGAAATACGATCGCGGGGTCCAGTTTCGAGGGGAATATCTCAGCCGTTAAAGCACTACCGGAGCTGCCGGTTGGGCAGTGACTTAGTTAGGGCCCCAAAATTGCTATCCACGTGAGATCCCCATGTGTCCAGACTTGCCTGGACGCTGCCTTTAAGAGTGCTAAAATAAAATGATTGTCAAGCTTTTTAGGAAGAACAAATAGTCAAGATAACACCAACTAAGAAACCGCAGGAGGGCTATTTAGTAAAGAAATCACCATCCAAAATTGAGCTAGCCAAAACACAAGATCAGGACTCAGGCGAATCAGACGAGAATCGCGAGCGCTCACTTCTCCCTAAGGACATACTACCTTCGATCTCTCTTGAGGAAAGAGACGAGGGACCTCCACTATCCAGACAAGTAGACGATGAGGAACGGTCGTCGATATCGGTATCAATAGGAAGCTTAAGAGCACCCGTTGTTGATATAAAACCTGCTGCACAATCAGTTCCGGATGAATTGATTACAGGAAAAGTGGAGTTACGTGAAGGCATCACAGAAAAAGTGAAGAGTGTCGTTAGCCAACCGAAAATTATACCCTCACCAAACCGAGAAACGCTTGCAAGTAAGGTGCTGAGCCAGAACATAACAAAATCTCAGTTCAAAGTAGGAACTGAACGTGGCAGGAAGTCCAAAAACATCTCCAAAAACGTGGCACCTTCAAAGCAATCAAAGCATTGGAGAACGGTGAACTTGAAGCCGAGAAAACACTCAAAAGTCACACGACATCATAAAAAGCATAAGTCAAAGAAAAAACGAAGAAGCCCAAAAACGAAAAGGAAAGAGAAGAGTAAGGGAAAACGTAAGAAATAGGAGAGCGATGCTTTGAAGACTGATGAAAAAATTTGAAATGACACTCCCATGTTACCTTTACAAAATTACTTTGAAAACAATAAAATGTTAATTAGAAAGTGGCCGTTTATGATGCTGACAGTTTTTTTACTTACTGCATGCTCTCCGTTGAACCTTAACACATTCACGACAATACGACCCACCGGTGGGTCGTACGGGATTACCATTTCGAACAGTATGACCCGCCGGTGGGTATTAAGATTCCTGAAGGTCTAGCTTTGCCAGTTTACGATGAATTCTACGAAGTTTTGGCACATGAGCGGACACACTTAGGCGAACCTCCAGCCAAAGTGGTCCGGGCTCGGGATACTGTATTGTAATGTACGGTAAGTATACCGTGAATAGATAAGGCACAGACTTTGACCCGAATTTCTGAGAATAATGCTGTTTCTGTATAGGCTACTGCATGACGAAGGCGCAATATCTTTGAACGCGAATGCGATTTCAGTAGCCGCAGAGTGCATGGGGAGCAAGATTTACAACGATGAAGATATGCGCGCGCCGCGTTTGCGGCCGCTCAACTAAAATTGCTCCTGCGCCTTCGTCTTGCAGCAGCCGTTACACTCAAGTGCATATTCACAAGCAATACGGGCAAGAGACAGATGCTGGCCCACCGAAAAAATTATCGATTTTACAAGTTTTATTGATTTTATTGATTTTTCCGTTGTTCATCCCAAGAAACTCAAATCTCACAATATGGGTTTTATAGCATGCTGATTACGAAAATGTTAGTCTCAAGTTCTAACGCCGCCTTCTTACATTCGTTTCTAAATCTTTACGAAAAGTTCTACCGTACTGATACCGTTGTCCTTCTATGAGACAGGTAGTGGACAAACTGAACACTACAATCGTGACCAGCACGTGGCATAATCCCAAAACACAATATTTTCATAAAAATTCATAAAGTTGGGCTTTGCAGAATGACTACCGTAACCTTACCATGTAATGCCAAAAAATGAAATGAACCTGAACCAAGTCTTGATAATCAGCGCTTTCTAATACCCCTTCGGGAAAATTCTTGGAGACATGTTTTCAATTCTTCTAAAAAGGCTACCATTTCGGACGGTACGACACACGGCGAAAAAGACTCTGGTCCGAAACGGCGATATCAAAAAATTGGCATTGTTGTGAATGGGTTAAGGGTGGTAGTGCAAATGTTGATACTTCCACTTCTTGTACAATATAGATTGGGAGGCTTAAGTTGACCCACATCTAGGGTCAAGCAAGAGCTGTGGCACAGACGCTCGCTAGATACGACCCCCTCCTCCCCCCCCCCCCCCATAATTCTGCCTAGTAAGACTCCCTAAGTTATTGCATAAAGATAGGCAGAACACAAAGTGTCTCTTATCAAGCACAACGACCATATTCACAAGCAGCCCAACATATAATGCCGATAGACCACGTTGGGCGACTTCCGAAGTTTCCAAACATCGGTCCGCCTGAGCCAAATGGTCATTCTCGGAAATGATTAACTTTATTTCAATAATAAATTAGCCCCCTCTTCTTGCAAGACATACAAAGCACCACTTTTTCTTTGCCCACCCTGAAAATCCAGCTTCAAAAGACCTCCAAATTACGGAGTTAAAAGTAAGCCGAAATTTCGTTTGTCTCAACTTTCCCTTTTATGGCTGTGTTTCATCCAGTATTTCTCGCAAATAAAACGAATCAGGCTCAAGTCACTGCTATGAAAACTTTTAGATTTGGGCTATCGAAATATTTATAGGCGATTCATAGCACACAAAGACTGCGGACGTATCGGCGTCTCTCTGATCAAGCGCTCTTTCGTTTCTCCTACCATCTGCTGTCTCTCCCATGCACGAACTATCTTGGCCGGACGCAACGGCGCCCAGTCTTTGCGTGTCAAAAATCAAAAATTTATATACTATTCGCTAGAAATTTCTTGAGATATAAATCAATGGGGTGTACCACGTCTCAAAAACTATGTCACGAGGATACTATTGGCGAAAAATATTTATATGAATCGATAGCCTAAATCTTGTTGTTTTCATGGAGTGATAAGTTTCATATGCTCTGAGTAGTATTTGGCGGAAGAATAATTGAAATGAAAAATGAGACACACGAGGTTTTGGCTTACTTCTAACCCCACAGTTTGGGGGTCTCTTGAAGCGGGATTCTTAAGCAGGATCAAGCGTGGGGTGCGGCACGCCACACCTGGGGGGTCGTATTGAGGGGTCAAAAGGGGAGGGGGTCGTAGTTGGGTAATCTGAAAATAGTGATGACATGATATTCGTATCATATCCATAATTAGCATGTCAATTGACCCCTGTAGACAAAGTGTGAGCGAATTCTGAAGATTCAAGATACTAGGCTACCTAAATGGAATGGTCAAATTCCAACATGGTTAACTTTGTTTCAAAGGTGAATTAGCTATCCGTTTTTGTACTCAAGACAAAGCACTACTCCTTCTTTGTCCACCTCAAAAATCCCGCTTCAGAAGACCTGCAAACTGTGGGATTAGAAGCCAACCAAAATCTCGTTTTTCCCATTTTTTGCTTTTGCTTTCACCAAATATTACATAGAGCTAAGAAGACAAATGAGGCTCCAAACAAACATAGCCTAAACCTTGTAGATCCCAGAGGCTCCAATCCTATGGGATCTACAAGGTTTAGGCTATCGATTCATATAATTACTGTCCGCTAAAAATGTTTTTTTGATATAGTTAATGGGGTGCGGCACACCCAAGGGGGTGTGCCGCACCCCCTTAACTTGCCTTCAAAATCCAGAAAGCGCTCCATTGCTGGTATGAGTATTGAGCACATAGCTTCTTCTTGCTACATTGGAAATTTGGAGCCGAACGCCCCACCCATAAGAAAATTATGGCCCTTTCAATATGCCCATTCAGATCGAAATCAGCCGTCAAATTACGTGTGATTGTAAAGTGCAGTCACAGAAAATCGGGCGTACAGCTCTCAGAAATCTGGAAACTCTCTAGAAAAAGAGCCCTCCAGAATGTCACACTTTGAGGTCCAAAGGTTAAGAAGAGGAAGAAGGGGTCGTTTGAGGGCTTTCATGGGAGGAGAGGTGGGTTTCGAAAGACGTGTGCCTGACCTCTTCCTCAACTCTGGTAATGCTATCTTAGGTATTAGTTCAGGAGGGGGGGGGGGGGGTCTTATTAAGACAGCAATCAGGGGAGGGGAGTCGTAACCAGCGATCGTGTGCCACACCCCTTGCTTGACTCTGTTCTTAAGGTAAGTAAAGAAGGAAGAGTGCATTGTACTGAGTGCTAAAAGAGGTATCTAATTCATTTTGGAATAAAGTTTATCATCTGAAAATGACCGTTTCACTCAGGTTGTCCGGGATTCGGAAACCAGAAGTCGCTCATACTTGGTCAGTATGGGTATTTGTCATGCTAAATATGGATATATTACTCGTAATACTTAATAGAGCCTCTTTATTTGCTACAATAGACATACGATGACATTTGAATATCTCATGCACTTGTATTTCGCATATTGGGGTTATCTGACAAACTGTTTACGAATATCATGTTAACAGTGTATCAGTATTACTCGATTACGACCCTCCCCTTTTTGTCTCCTTAATGATTTGTGGCGTACCACTCTCTTAAAGGAACAGTGCATAAAAGCCAAAGTTCTTGAAATTTCGGTGCAGAATAATGAGGCTCCAAACTAACCTGGAAAGGATACTTGGTGGCTGTGGCCATCCATGACGAGCTATAAATCATCCTGAATTGCTGTTTCCAAATCTGCTCTCGCTTTCTTGAAACGGTTCTTAAAACTTTTTCTAAAAAATGTGTGATACGTGCATGAATTTTTTTCTGCAATCATTAATGTTGGAGTGATATAGTGTCTAATGATACTGAAAAGATCTTAAATCAGACAGTTGTATCAAAATATTCGATCCAAATTCAACAGTTAGAAGAAGCAAGCAAATCTTTCTAGAAATTTCGACGCGCACCAATACAAGTTATTCTTGATAAAATAGTCATAATTCCATATAGGTTATTGTTTCGCAGGTTTGAAAGACGGTTTTGAACGGCATTTGAAGACGCATTTACTACTTATGCATCACATACCTCATTATCAGTGGCACCCAGGATTTCCGTCCCGGGGGGGGGGAACAAAAATTTTTCTGATGAAGGAGTGTGGCGTTAGCCACGCACGCACTCTGAAAAAAATTTGTGGTAGCTTCCTGAAATTTTCGCGGACACATAACCCCAAAATTTCAGAAAAGGGGCGTTGTTGATCTTCCAAAAATTTCTTTCGTAAAACCAAATTGAATTTTTGAAAATTTTTGGGATTTATAGCATATATTTGTGGATTATGTTGGGGTTGCCACGCCCATCAACGTGGATGGTGCAAAGGTAATGAGCTGAAGTTAAAATTAGTAAGGGATCTGTTGTACTTCGCCGAAAAAAGACAACGCCAAACAAAGCCCAAAAAGCGCAAAAGCGTCAGAACGAGCCGAGAAAAATCCATTTTTGTGATAAACATGGACGTTATTCTTGGATCTAGTTTTGGGCTCTTACTTATAAAATACTCGATGATGGGCCTGGCAGCTCCAGCAACACCCACCTTCTAGGCCGGTTTTCTCCCCTTGGAAAAACTTTTACAGCGGACTCGGGCAATTAGTTGAAACCAACCGACGAGCCAAATTCTCCACGTCTGGCTCTGCGGACGTTTCCCTGCACTCCTATACATGCATCTGTGCATGAAGCATGGATATATAAGTGGGCTACAGCTTCACCCCTTTGTGGCAAGATCCGCCCAGTCAGAAAAATGCTCAATCTGGCTTGAATCTCAAAGGCAGTGTCCAGGGCAAGATGGGGAGATTTGATATTTTATGCCTTGCGAGAGTGGCCCGTCTCAGACATAACATCGCGCAAGTGCGACGTCATAAC